ATCCTGTATGCCTGTCTTGCTCATTGTTCTTTACGCCTTCGCACGTAGGGTAGCTGTTATGTTGGTAAGTATCCTGCACCGGGCTATCTGGCGACTCGCGAGGATACCAGGGTAAATCAGGCGAACTCAAGACAAAGGGCGCCGATCAAGCCCCTCGCAACCTCTTGCCAACCAAGAGCTACTCCCGGCAAAACGGACTCCCAGCTAAAGCCTCGCCAACTGCGGGAGGCCGAGATAAAACCACCTTTCCTACTGACCTACGGACCTCGCGAACCCAACTAGAATTCCCCCGCCCACCGACAAGCAACAGAACCCACTATTCAGGTGCCTCTACTCACGGCCGAACCAACCCAACCACCCGCGCAGTGCCCGCGCGCTTCACTTACTTGCATGGATGCCGTTGGCCCGCAATGTCGATCTGCGCGTCGCCGTTGTTGTTGTCTTCTCATATATAAGAGACGGCGTTCTATTGTAGGCAAAACCAAAGATAAAGGCAATCTAACATCACTCGTCAAGCGATTTCGACCTCGACTTTTTCTAGTCTTTCTCGTCGTCTATTTTCTGTAATCCGTCTTAATAAAGCTTAGTTGGTACCTGTTGTCTGACTCTGCATTCTGTGCTGGAATGGCCAAAACTCGGACTGTCTCGTCCTGGTGTGATATCCGTGGTTGGCATAGGGCCCTCCGTACTTCTGTATTTGGCAATACTCGAGGCCATGAGTTTCGACCTGTTGGCCTCGCCCCAACCGACACCAAATTCCTACCATGCATACCTTACCTAGTTACCACCTTTCGATTGTGCGCAAATTGTAATTATACTTGGCAGAATTCCTACAGAGCAAATTTTAAATGCTTGCTTGCAGATTTGCTAGTTTCCTTCAGAGCCCACAAGGATTTTTGACACAATTTTTATAAATGGCCGCCCGCGCAATAGCAATCATAGCTTTGACGGCCCTGCTCTGCTCCGCTAGCCTTCCGAAAGGAAATGCAGTCATCAACAGCGTCATCAGCCAGTGGCTTACAATTGCCCAAAATACTGTGTTGTCGCTGGGAATCGAACACCAGCAGGCAGCTCGCGTCTACGGTATCGTGGCCTCGGGTGAGCGGCAAAAAGCAAACGGCTTATCATAATAGCTATTACAGGACGCATCCTAACGCCTAAGCCGCTTCACGATATAGTTTTATCGGCGAATAACAGAAGAACTTATGTGGCTTTGCATGCAGCACAATATGACGTCATCCTCTTGGCCCGCGCCTACACGTCTGCCGTGATTCCCGACGAAGTCGCCGCGGCATATGCCAGCCACGCAGCGCTCAGCCACCTTTTCTTTTGGCGCCAGAACTCCATCTACGACCCGGCCCTTGCGGAAAACTTGGCGAGGTACAATGTGAGCGACTCGCTCCTTCCGGTTCTGCAGAGCCTGGCCGTTCCCACCGTACAGAGGATCCTGGTCGACAGGTACGACGGGTGGTTTGACTAACCTCTGTGCAAAACCCTGTGAGTGCGTGTGTAAGGACGCCAATCGCCTACATGAACCATTCATTACAACGCCAGGATCTCTTGCTCATGCATGACTGATGTTACAGCGGTAGATGCGTCGTGAAACAGGCAATCTGTGCGCGTACTCTAATTGCGCCAAAACGTGTTTGTCGTACCTCCGTCTGTCGTACCTCCCACTGATCCCTCTGACCCGCCTATCACCACACAGGATCAGAGACGGCATCAGCTACTTTGCAAACTTCAAGCCCTTCAGCAACAGCAGCGAGAACATCGGGCGCTACCAGTTCACTCCCGGACAGGTAGTATGACAGCAACAAAGTACGGCACATGTACAATGAGCCTAGGGTCTCTGCTGCCTCACTGTAGTAGCTGGTACATAGTACGACACATCTGATGACGTGTTCAGATGCGCGCTAAGGCGCTCCACCAGCATCTTAAGAGGGGCCTTTTCAGCGGCGGCCTGCAGCTACACTCAACCTGGGGCAAACTTCACAGTCAGATCTCCCATCGCCATAGCATGAGCTTCCCCAGGAGGTCCCTATAACCATCGCCTCATACAGGTGCCCGCCGCCACACACCACATGCACATAAAAACACACACACGCGCGCTTGCTTTCTTCCTTCTTCCTCACGCCTTCCCCCCCTAATTGCCCTTGGATCTTGTACTGCCCTTAGACCTCTGCACGCTATCCCCAAGTCGCTCGTGCCAAGCCCTTCTACTTGAGCTCGTACGATGTGGACGTGATCACCAAGAACCTGACTCGCTTCTCACTGAACGATACCGAATACGGGCGGGAGCTTTGGCAGGTGCGGGCGTGTGCGTGTGTGCGTCGGTGAGTCAGTCTGTCAGTGTGCTGGGTTATGTTGTTGAAGGGAAACTATGCTCTTGGTACAAAAGAAGGACAAGCTGCCGATCAAAACTGAGGAGTTTTGATCGTGATTTAAAGTTCTGGTATTCCAAGTGTTTGTAATAATATCCTCTATCTCGGAAAACGGATATTTAAGCTCATGCAAGTCATTTTAATGAAACCAGTTAGAAAACTAGGAAAAGTTGGTGAAGTAGTTAATGTAAAAAACGGTTATACCGTGAGCCAGGGGAAGTTAAGTAGGCGGGAATGGGTGCATACAATGGCCCTGTGTGTGTATGTGCGTGCCATAATGAATATCGCATACTTAAGATGCATGCACACACGCATGTATGCATCTTGCGACTAAGAGCGTGGGAGGCGGTACTCGTTCCCACACACTTAAACCCTTTATAAGCAGCTCAACCACCAACCTGACTTCTATCGATGCATGCGATTCACATATTTATGTTGTACGTGCTTGTTCCTCCGTAATACAACTCCTGGCCCTGGAATAAAGGTGTATCTGTACGGCTCAGTTAACTCCACCGTCCGTACGGCGTACGACACCGGCTCTGTGCGCTTCTGGGCTCTTGGAACTGGTGCGGAGGAGCCTAGAGGGCTAGGGTAGTGCAATCCTTTGTGGCGGCCTTGTATGTATGCATGTATGTACTTATGCACGTAACATGTATGTATATCGCAATAAATCAACGGTCATTGTACGCTATAAATCGGAACGAACTTGTGCTTGAAACCACGCCATCCGTAGGTCAGGGGCCCCAAAACGACGACTTACACTTTGGCAGGCTAATTAGCACCAACCCCGCCCGGCCCCGGTGAGGGCCGTTCGACACGTGGAAAAGGCTTTCTCCGAGTACCTAGGCTAATAAGCCTGCGAACCCCATACGACAGGGATGGACCATCTCCTACCAGCAGACGCAGGCCCGCACAGTCCGCTAACCACACACGCATTCCTCCATTTGGGAGTGGGCAAAACCCATGAGCTCAAACTTGACAAGGTTATCGGGCCTAAGCGCAAAAACGCAACTGAAATCCCCAACAACAGCATCGAGTGGCAGGGCCTGCATGTGTTTCGAGGATGTAGCCAGCTGAGGCTAAGGTCATCAGCATAAAGTACTTAGGGTTAATACCGCTCTGCCGACGATGTGGGAGGGCCCGTCACATCATCAAAACCCAACTGCCCGCTTCGCGCGTCCTCCCCGTCGACCATGTCCGCGAGTGCTTCGAATAAACAGCGAACGAACGAACATCTCATCAGTGCCAAGGGGGCGTCTGCGCTCAACACCTTGTTTGGACACAAAAGGCTTTCCGGTCTCCCCATTAACCTTCTTCACTTCCTTGATCACCACCTTTTCATACAGTTTCATACATTTTCATGCAATGTAATGTAATGTAATGTTACAGAGTGGGAGGCTTCTGGGCCGCTTTATTTTCATGCATTTTAAGGAAGGCATCCAAGAGCGGCAGGCACGAAACCCTCTCTCGTCTAACTTCAGCCAAAGCAGCCGCCCTCGCGGCAACAAATCATCGGAGGCATTCTCAAAGGTCCATCTGGACAACAATATAAGTCCCACGTTGGCAAAGAAAGCACCGGTGAGAGATGCCCCTTGACGAAGAGACGGTGCACGATGGCGCCGAAGCTCTAAAACCTGAAACCAGCCTGCAGCCGATACCCGAGCTTAAGGTCCCGTCCTTATGTATGGTATATGCAGGTACAGGCACCATCGCGGGGGTGTGGTTGAACATCTCCATCTCCGTAATCCCGGCGGAGACACCCCTGGTGCAGCAGGCCCGCTTTTTCAAGATCCTCACCACCAGCTTCTGGGATGCAGCCGTAGCGTGGTAAGCATCTGGTTTGGCGGCTGAGTGGCGGCTGTGGTGACTGACGCAGCAGCTTTCCCTCGCTGTTTTCCATATAATATACGTTATCAGAATGACCTTGTGCATGACTGCAGCTGCGGGGTCCCGGATTTAAAACCCTAAAACCCTGAGAGAGAAAACCTAAAACCCTAAACGGTTTACAGATCGTGCCATGGTAGAATAGATAGACCTGAAAGAGATGGCCAATAGACGCTCCTCCATTTTACACACAAAGATTGCCGCATACCCTGCCCCCCTAGCTGGCGCACCAAGTATCGGGAGCTCTTCTGGCGACCCATTACCGCCATCAGGTGGGTTGGTCAGTTAGCTACCGGTTGGGCGGTTGACTATCAGTTAGGCAGTTGGCTGGTAGTGACGGGGCCCATAATCAGCGGGTTTACACAGTACCACCTTTCCCTGGCCTGTTTAGCTCCATCTCACCTCTCCCTGGCCCCCTGGCCACCTGTTTCCCCTGCCTTTGTTAAATGATGGAATTGAACTCTGTGTGCGCAGGACGCCCCACTTGCGGTCCTTCGCCGCCGACCCCTCCTGGACTCCCCTGTTGAGCACTCCCGCCCACCCCGAGTATCCATCCGGTCACCAGTGCTCTTCGGGCGCCGCGGTGTACTTGCTGGAGGCCTTTTTGGGCCGCTCGACGCCCTTCAGAGCGTCTTCGGAGGGCGCCCCCGAGGTTGGGATTCGCAGCTACCCCAACTTCCGCGCCGCAGGCCTGGAGAGCGGAGACAGCCGTCTATATGCGGGAGTGCACTTCAACAAGTCCAATATTGATGGCATGAATTTAGGATACCGTGTCGCGCAGTTCATTCATACCAGGAAGTTTAATTCCGTGACCTTTAGTTCGAGTATCTGATTGGAGCTCGTGAAGCTTTTGCCGTGATATGGATAATAAATACAGCATTTGACATCTTCCAGATCCTCGGAGTGCGTTGCGACGGTCCCGCGACTGTCACAACGTAGATTCCGAAAAGGGCGGGCTCCCAAACGGGTCCGGGTTCCAACACGAATTTTACATCTACGCCCCATTTCAGCATGCCTAGCTAGTATTGTGGTGCATTTTTTTATTTCAGCCTGTGAACAGTTTGCACTTCGCAATAGTGCGTCTGGAACTTCGGTGAACCCAATCATGGAACGGCGCTGGGCAGCAGCGATGGCAGTCGACAGCTTTCATCGCAGTCAAGAGTTTTTTGCATTCATTTGCCTATAACGTCCGGTCCGATGTATATTTTTTGCATTTGTCGGGTGATAACTTGATGTCTCGCTATAAACTAACCCTTACAAGGGCGCGTTTGTTAGTTTGGTTCAACCAGCAGAGGCAGTTTTTGTATCAAGAGCATGCGCCGTTACGCTGCCTCGCTTTCCTATCCGCCTTGGATCCGCCTCGGTGTTTGTTGCACTTAATCCGTTTCGCTTTGTCGTACTTCCATCGGTGAGCGGTCGTTAAGATGGCTCACAACCCATCTATTGGGGTCTTTCGATCACACCACATTTGTGGAGGAGCTAAATAGGAAGGAGCATTACAGTTTTGGTTCCACCAGCGGCAGCTTCTAACGAGCACGCAGGCTCTCCTCCCTTATTCGCTTTCCCTCCTGTGTTGTCGATTTCCTACAATCAACACGTTGCAAGGCTGTTGAATCCCCCGATACTTTGTATGAACTGAAACGAGCTAGAGGCAGGAGACCAAACGTTAGAGCAATTAGCTGAGACAAACCCGACCAGACACAGGATTTCCCGGTTGGCGGACCAGTTCTTGTTATTACCCATTCACACAACAGCACTGCCGTACCATACCAGCGCACCCATGTACGGCCATATATCCATACATTCAGAAATTTCGACCTCTCACTCACACCACCACGTGGGCACATTAATTGCATTCGATGAAATCATGCCGCCGCCGCTTCACGCCCCAACTTCCCCACCTGCTACATATCGGCGGGGGGGGGAGGGGTTGCCGGGTGTAGCAATGCGGATGTCCCCAGAATGAAATAACTCCAAAGCCCCCTTTTTTCTCTTTCCCCCCAACAGCTTAATGGAAATATCATCTTGCCCCCTTCCTTCTTTGAACCTAACCACCGGGTCATGGGTGATAAAAGCAGTAGTAGTAAGTTTGCGGATACCACAGCCTGTTTAGGCACACGCTGCTGGGGTGAGATAGTGAAAAGCGTCCCAAAGCTATAGCTAGTCTAGGCAACCTGCTGCTCACCAGCGGGCAGCTGCACCACCACCACTGTCACGTTGTCCGTTGTGGGTGCGGTGGACGAGTCGTGACGGAGTGCCTCGTGGAGTAGCGCGGATACCGCTGAGCGGAGGGAGCCCTTCGTCGCCCCGCCCGGGACCCCCCCTGTCACGCCCACGCCCTGCCCCTGGCGCGGCCCCGGCTCCCCAGATTTCTGTCCATGTAAACAGCCCAACTGGAGCTCTAGGAAGTCCATGACCTGATGCCGGAGATTGGGGGAGGGGGAGGACTTTTTATATTATATAAAGGGGGAGGAGGGAGAAATATGTGGTGTTGCAAAATGCATAATCAAATTAAAAAAATAAAAATTTATATTAATAGTGCAAAATGCAGAGTAAAAATAAAAATTAAAAACACGACAATTAACTTTGACATTCCAAACTACCTAAACCACCCAAACCTCAACCGCTTCCCTCCCCCTCATACACACCATTTGGGGGTGCATGACGTCCCACAGGCCGTCGCATGCGACCACCAGCAGCCGCGGGTGCGGGTGCGGGTGCGGGTGTGGGTGTGGGTGGGGCAGCGGACGGCCATCGTCCCCCTCCGCGGCCTCGGAGGGCCCCGCGGGGGACGTCTCCGAAGTCTCGGCTCCTGCTGAAGTCATCAACCTGACTTCCCGGTCAGAAGAGGTGCCGCTAGCAGTGGCGGTAGCGGCGGTGCCAGCGGGTGTTGGTGGGGTGGCCAGGAGGGGCACTGAGGTGGTGTCCGGTGCAGCGGTTACGGCTTGTTGGTCGGGGGGTAGAGCGGGGTCCTTGTACTGCGGTAGTGGAGGTGTTGGGGAAGGGGGGAGGGGGGAGGAGGAGGAGGGGGAGGAGGTTGTCTGATCTCCCGCTTTCTGCCTGCCCTGTCATTTCTAGACATCGCGGCGGCGCAAGGAAGGGGAGCGGTGAGGCGGCTGACCCAGTGTGGGTCCGTGTCCAGGATAGCCGCAGCGGCAGCAGCAGTAGCAGCATAGACCGTTATCTCCCATGCCGCGTCATGTCATGTGTGTGGTGTGTTTCTCGGCCGTCACCTTCACCTCCCATGCTCGCCGGGCGTCCTCCAACACACAGTCGCTGGCCAGTGTCAGGCCCGGTCAAATACTTGTAACGTTCTCTCTCTCTCTCTCTCTCTCTCTCTCTCTCACACACACACACACACACATACACACACATACACACACATACACACACATACACACACATACACACACATACACACATACACACACATACACACACATACACACACATACACACACATACACACACATACACACACCGTCCCAGCCCCTCTCACCCGCACATCCCCTAGGGCTCGGCTCATGGCCAAACTGCCGCCAACGCGGGGAATGTGACCAGGGCGCTTCAGGACGAATTGGCCTGCGGTTGGGCGGTTGGAAGGTGGTTAGTTGGTTGAGCAGCAAAATGGAGTTCAGACAACCGGGCGCCAGCACGGCCGTTGGCGGGTAGCGGACGTTGCAGACACGAATGCACACACACACACACACGCACACCACGTGCAGTACATCGCCTCGAGAGCGTCACCGTACTCGGTTTCACACCCGCCACACTCACTCAACACACACATACACACATACACGCAAGCACACATATTTACGCACACAAACACAAATACGCGCGCAGCTGCTCCCCTGTGCACCTCGGCGGGCCCCCCCCCCACGTTTGCGGCTCGGTCCTTCAAAAAGCACTGAGGGGTTCATGAACGAGGGGTCTTAAGACCCCCCGCGGTGCCCCTCTGACGCCCAGGACAGGCGGGCCCCCCCCCTCTTCACATATCCACCACCACCCCGCCACCACCACCACCACCACCACTACCGCCACCACCACCACCCCCAACACCACCACGTTCCAGCACCTGCCTGCGCGACAGATCCGTTCTTGTTCTTGGGGCAGGTCGGGTTTGTGGTCCGCAGTCAATGTCCTGGCCACACCGTCCTCAGAGAGCACAACACTGGAGCGGAGGGGAGGGGAGGGGAAAGACGAACCACGAACGAGTGAAGCTGCTGCCAAGGAAAGAGTGTACCAGACGTAGAACTGATCAAAAGGCGTTCTTGAAGGCGGCGACCTCGGGATGACGTAGTGAAGAAGATGTCGGACAACTACCTACCCACCTAGCCGCCAAGACTGAAAAAGCGCGGAAGAAAAGCAGTAATGCCAACCGTAAAGAAGTAAAGGTAGGTGTAGAAGCGGCGGAAAAGTAGTAAAACAACTGCTGACGTGAAGCTGGAATAAAGTTTTAAGTAGGAGGGGGGGGGGAGGGGAGGGGAGGGGAGGGGAGGGGAGGAAATGGCGGCGGGGGCGACGGTGCGGGGGGGACGGCCCAGGAGGACTGCAGGAGGTGCGTTTTATACATCCGATTACCGATAGGATACAGATTACATGAGAAAAAAGAGAAGAAAAAGAAGATGAGGTTGAGAGATTTAATAAAGTCCAGTATACGACAAAACAATGCCATGCGTGCAGTACGCCGTGTGGCGTGCATACATTTGTAACAACTTACATACATATATAATAATATTACAATACATTACAAATGTATGCACGCCACGTATGCATATACATGTATGTATACATGTATGTATGTACAGCCGGGAACGGGTTAGAAAGTTGGATGATTGACGACACGCACGTGCAGTACAGCGTATTACGGAGCACCGACGAGTGTTGTGCTGTTGCTGTGGAGTGGAAAGATAGGGGCGCCGCCCCTCTCATCTCCCACCTGCTAAAGCGCGCAACGCAATACACATACACATACACATACACATACACATACACATACACATACACATACACATACACATACACACTCACACACGGCCCCCCCCTCTCCCGCCTTCGTACCGGCTGTCCCCCGCATGCGCCACAGCCAGCTGGGACCCCCGGATAACCGCCACAGCCGCCGTGGAACCCGCCTTGGGGCCCTGGTAGAGACCTTGCTCGTCCACTATGCCGTACTTCTTCGTACTGCAGGTGCATACCGCATACCGCGGCCAACAAAATGTTACACAAAATGTTTAAAGACAGCGTTTCAGCGGCCAAGGCCACGGGGCCGCCATATCGATTCCTACTGGGGGCAATTATATCATAATACAAAAGGCAGGGAGTTCACTGCCGATGTTACCTATCGGAAAGGGACGCACGCGGGGAGGTTAGGGGAGTGTGATGCGCTCACATACACATACACATACACATACACATACACATACACATACACATACACATACACATACACATACACATACACATACACATACACATACACATACACATACACATACACATACACATACACATACACATACACATACACATACACATACACATACACATACACATACACATACACATACACATACACATACACATACACATACACATACACATACACATACACATACACATACACATACACATACACATACACATATACACATATACACATATACACATACACACATACACATACACATACACATACACATACACATACACATACACATACACATACACATACACATACACATACACATACACATACACATACACATACACATACACATACACATACACATACACATACACATACACATACACATACACATACACATACACATACACATACACATACACATACACATACACATACACATACACATACACATACACATACACATACACATACACACGCACACACTTACTGCACGTTCCCCTCCGCATACTCCGCGAGCTCCCCCCGGCAGTCCGCCGCCCGCATCCGGCCGTCCAGGGCCAGGAACGCCGCCTCCAGAGCCCCCTCCAGATCCCCCCGGGAGAAGGCGGGGGAGCGAACCACTTCCTCAACCTCGGGATTCACATGTGTGTATGCACGGCAATGTACGACAAGACATGGCGAGTCAGTGGGGCGGCGGATGTGAACAAGAAAAAAACCAGTGCAGCGATGAAGCGCGCGGGGGGAGGAAGATGAGTGAGGGGTGTGTGTGGCTCGGATGTGGTTTCGGAGGGAGCCCGAGGAGACCGCTAGGTGTGTGAGACGTGGTTTCGGAGGGAGCCGAGGAGACCGCTAGGTGTGTGAGACGTGGTTTCGGAGGGAGCCGAGGAGACCGCTAGGTGTGTGAGACGTGGTTTCGGAGGGAGCCGAGGAGACCGCTAGGTGTGAGACGTGGTTTCGGAGGGAGCCCGAGGAGACCGGGACGTCGGAAGCATAGCAGCAAATGAGCAGCAGCAGCGGATGGGTAGAGACGGAAGCTAAGATAGCGGCAGCCACAGCCAGGGGGGAATGTGTTTTTATGTTTGTTTGTGTCGTGCGGGCCCCCGATTGTTTGAATCCCGATGTCGTGGATTGCATTATACTGGTGTGCCGTACTGCCGCTCCACCTTACGACCACGGATGTAACCCACCTCGGCGTCCCCTGTCTGTGCCGTACTTACAATGTGCTGCGCGCAGAAGGACGCCACCTCGCGGCCGCCGTGGCCGTCAAATACGGCAAAGAGTGCCGTACCGTTGCCGTCAATATCTAAATTGACCACGTGCGCATCCTCCTGCAACGACGGGAAGATCCAGACTGCTCAAACTCAAAGTGAGTACGGCCGTGTGAGTACGGCCGTGTCTCCCCTTGTGTTTTGGAAAGCCACAGTGGGGGATAACTCCCCCACAGGGAACAGATCTTCCCCGAAAGGCAGCTCTGTACTGGCGCCGGAACCGGCAGGACGTTGTCCAAAACCCGGCCCTCCCTCCCCTCCCCCCCCGGGTGCCGCTGTCACAGCACGGGCCCCCCCCCGCCCCCCCCGCCCCCCGGGCAAGGGTTTTCTCCCCCCCCGCACCATGCTCCTCCTACGGCCCTGTGTCTCCCCCACCACCCAGTGAAAGCCGCCGCCACCACGGCCCTCGGACAGCACCTGCGGACATACATGTATGTCAGTATGTATGTATGTCGGTATGTATGATATGTGGGACAGGGGGGTCGTATCTTCACCCTGCGGCCGCTACCTGGCACCCTCATCCAGTCACCCTAGTCAGCTTCTCAGTGGATCGCTCAGGTTCCGCACCCACCATCAGCATCCAATGGAATCTGTGGGGTCGACAGCGGCCCAACTCCATTCCTGGTCTGCTCGCAAGTTAACTTTATCCCAGGTCACCACCATCCATCAGGCACTTTACCTTCCATCATTGGAAGGATTTTCGCCCCTGACAGGTCTCGATCTCGGGATCTCCCGGGGGCAGTAGCCGCGCGGCACCAGTAGTGCTTAACCTATGTCAGTATGTATGTGTTCGTGTGTAGGTGTGTATGTCCACATCACGCTCTCAATGGCTGCAGGCGAGTTCATACCGTTCCTGACCACCCTCGAGGGCATGGAGGAACTAATTTGCCATGGCCCCGAAACCATCAACATTTAATGATGTGTATAATGCTAAATCGTCAACGAGGCTATTGAGGCAATGCTTGGCCGCGTAGTAAGGCCCTCTTACGATGTTGCGCGAGTGGCGCTCGAGTGGGAGGTCTTACCACTGGGTCCAGCAGTTCAGGCGGTCGACTGCCACAACTACTGCTGCTGCTGCTGCTGCTGCTACTGCTGCCCACTCTCAACAGCCAGCCTCCAGCGAACCGACCCGCGGGTCATAGTGAGGGCCAGTCCAACAGCCGCACAACCCGCCCGCACCGTCACCTTACCTACATTAACATAACCACTTAATAACCCAACCGCCTAACAGCGCCCAACAACCCAACCGACAACCGCCCAACTAACACAACCGAATAACATACCAACCACCACAACGCAACCGTCCAACCACCCAACCACCTACCACTGGAAACTCCGTCAGACCGCCCTGGTTGTTCAGCGACACAACGGTGGCCTGCTTGCGTGCAGCCAGGCTGTCATCCAGGTTGCTGGAGGGGGGCAGCTGTACGGCAAGATCCAGATCCTGTGAGGCGCTGAGAGAACTGGGGGTTGGAGTGGCGGTGGCGGGACTGGTCATGGCTGGCGTGTTGGTTGCGCTTGGCTGGTGCGGCTGCGGCTGCGGCTGCGGAGGCGATGATGGTGGTGATGATGGTGGGCGCGATGGAGGGGCGCCGCGGGGTGGCTGGCGGTCTTGTGAGTAGCAGTGGCTTTCAATGTTCCCTTGATCAGCGGCGGCGGCGGCAGCGGCGGCCAGAGTGTGGCGACGGGCGGCGCTAGAGAAGTGAAGGGGGAGAGAGGCGGCGGAGGAGGAGAAGGGGAGGAGTGGGGGCAGTGGCGGTGCTGAGGGACGGTGGGGGAGCCCAGGGGGTGGCGTTGGCAGCGGCCGCGGCCGCGGCGGTAGCGGGACCGGAGTTTTGCTGGAGGCGGACAGTGAAGCGCGTGATGTCGTGGAGACGTCGTCGTGACGGGCGCGGCGGTGGTGGTGGTAGTGGTTAGGAAGGACGATTGGAATGAAGGGCACTGGAGTGGCTGGAATAGCTGCGAAGCGCGGAGGATGGGGAATAAGGCGAGGAGTGGGCGTTGGGAGGAAAAGCTGCTGCAGGCCGTAAAGCTGTATGAGACGCGATATCAGCGAAGAGCGTTGCTGATGGGTAAGATGCAGCGGCATCAAAAGCGAATCAAAAACGGATATTTAATGCGGGCTTGAATTCATTCGAGCCGTTATGGAGTTTCACTTTTTACTGTGCGGGTTCCGGAATGTTTGTCGTAAGTTCCTTCAACTGGCGGCCCCGGAAGCAAAAACGGGTGACGCAACGCGCGCGCGCGGAAGATATATTGTTCAGAGGAAAAACGTGATCATCTCATTGTGGTTCAACTACCTGGCTGGTTGAAAATCATCTGATCAAAATTGCTGGAGCGTCAGAGCCCGTCGGGGTGCCGAGCCGTCTCTCCCGCTTGGTTGCGTTCTGCGGGCAAAACTAACTAACTGACTAACGGGCTCCTAACGAACTAACGCGCTGCTGCAGCGCAGATGCGCACAGCCGTTTTTTTTCATGGCCGCACACACACACACACACATGGATGAATGAATGTCTGCACGTCTTGCTGTCCTTACACAGAGGCCCAAAGCCTAATACTCCCAGCCCTTCAACGGACCCACGGGTCATAGCGAGCTGAGCTTTCTTTTAAGGGCTTCCTCACGTGGGGCAAACAGTTCACGTATTGAATACACAACCGCCTACAACCACCCACAACCGCAACTTAAAAGATCAGCTCCAGGCTTGATTATCTTCTATGATACGGATGCAAATGGCGTTGGCTGATACAACGTTTCAGACCTGGGTGCGGGTATTGCACCCACCGGCATCCCCTTGCCACGAACCACCCCCCATCGCGTCTCAAAACCCGCCACCAACCCTAGCCTGATTTCCCCCTCCTTTTACCCCTTCCTTTCCGTGTATGTATGTGTATGTGTATGATGTTACAGGGTGATATAGCTTCACCAGCGGCCCCCTTTCCCGAGGCAGTTCCCTGCTCTCCCCTGCGAGAGGGGCACCCTAATCCAATCACCTCACCCGACTTCAGAATGTATTCATTAGAATCAGCAACTCACCACCAGTATCCAACTAATGTAGCGGATCAACGGCGCCTCAACTTGGTTCCTGGTCAGCTCGCAAGTTGATATAATCACGTCCTACACCGTCCACAAGATGGGGGGCCACCTCCCAATTCAACACTCCTCAAACACCCGAGGAGTCGGCAGGCGGATTTGAATCCGGACCCTCCGGGAGCAGAAGTCCGGCCTTAACTGCTGCCAGCCACCTGCCTTAAATGTGTATGTATGTGTGCGTATATGTATGGCCGTGCGCACGTGTGTGTGGTGGTGTTAATGTTACAGCGGTGGGCTACCAAGCTTCTTTGCCTGAAAGCAAAGCAGCCGAGCCAAAGGACACATCAGCTGACGCTGCAGGAAATACAGACCAGGAAAAGCAGGCTGGCTGGTTCGTAACGGCACGCAAACCTACTACTCAACAGGCTGGGGAGAGACCGGACTGCTAGCACTGCACTGCTGATACCAGCAGGGTTTTTTTTGCCGATATGGCTCACCAATGAGTGATAACCTCGTTCCTAACAATACCGGCAAATCTGCCTGTGTGCGTGTGTCGGCTTTAATGCCTGCCACGCCATTCATCTGCCCCACTATGCTAGACCTTCGTGCCATTTTCTAATACGTGCCGCCTCCTTGTTCGTCTTTGCGTGGTACGACTCGGCCATGGCTGTATGAGACGGATCGCACCACAACCTGGCTCTGGGCTGGACGTGCGTGTTGAACAAGAGTGGATGCATTACTTGAATTGGGGAGTGGGTGGCTGTGTCGGGAGGCTGGCACGTGTACTGGGGGTAGTAGGTCTATATTACCGTGCCGTGCGCAGGGCATCCGCGACGTACGTACGATGACGTGCGTGCAGTGACAACCGCCGTATGTGGCCAATAGTGTTTGGCTGTGTGCAATGTGTGTGTATCTAGAACCGAAGAAACCGCGCTGTCCGTGAGGCTTGCGTTCCCCGTATGCGCCCCCATGAACCTGTGGTATGGAGCTAGGGAAGAGCGCAACGCGCGCGTAGGGGAGAGCGCAACGCGCAATGCACCCTCGCATTAGAAGAAAGGGGGTTTCGAATCATCAGACCGAGGTGCCGAGCTGGTTTGTTACCCCAGTGAACGGAAAAGACCTAGCTACCGCCCAGCGCGCTTACAGACCCGTTCACACAGGAGACGACACAGACGCATAAAAGTGTAATCTTTGTTGCGTCCGCGACGATGCTGCGGCAAGTTGACAGCGGCAACTGTTGCGGCATAATGCCGAGAGTACAGTCATGCAATTACTGAGGTGCAGTTTCACCGCAGGCTCGTCGGCAACATTCCTTGCTCTTGAAGGGCATCCTTGAAAGAAGTCGATGAACATGCTAGAAATCGAGGTATTAAAGCACCCATAACAATTATCTACATATTTCTTAAGTGGGCAAGCGACCTGCCAAACACGTTCGCCATGTTGCCTACGTCTACCAGACATTGCTACCTCGCCCATGTTTGGGGATACCAACACGACGTTTCCACCGTATATGTTGTGCTGTTAAAAGTACCATGACTGACAGAAAGCGCTTCTTGCAACTTGGCGAAGGGGTCCCAAGGGTCCGTTCGGTCGTACGGCTGTCGTGACTTTTGGCATTCTTCAATGTCAGTGCAGCACATTTGAAAATATCTCTTTTTTAGGTTCCTTGCTCCAGCATGGCAACAGAGTCAACGCGTAAGACGTTTGCCGTGCTTTATGACGGAGACGGTTCAACCGCAAATATGTACACAAATTCGGTGTAGACCTTCACTAATTATGATCTCGAGCGTTTCTTTGTTAGTCTTGCTGGCCTCCAATGTCGTCGCAGGACAGGTAAGTGGTGCTGTTGAATTCCAAATTTCCCAGGACTTGGTCAACACTGCTGTATGTTTGAACTTGATGACATATTTGCGTTTACAGGACCCTCTTATTGATTTTCCTGCATTGCTTGGCGGACGGGGCCTTCACCAAGGCCTTGGAGGCTACTGGCTCAAGTCCGTAACAACAAACCAGAACCGGCGGGTTTACAATTCCTTGGTGTCTACAACTGCTGTACATTCATTACAAGGTCCTTCGCACCCGAGTGGGTTACCTTTTCAAGTACATCCCGTCTGCAATTACACCACCTGCTGCAGCCGGCGGACTAGTGACAGCGTCGCGCGCCGCGCTGCCATAGCTGAAATACGCTTGGACAAAACTGCGCCACCACCCTTGCTTGCCTGTGGACCCAGCCCAGCAACTGCGGGAGCTGCACCGGCGCCCTGCCACCCGCCGCTTGGGGACCAGCCCGCCCTCCAAGCCTTGCGTACGCGTGTACAGTTGTCACTCCATGCTCTCCATCGAACTCTAGCTCATCTGGGCAATTCAGCAGCTGCTGCGTTTTCCGGATCAGGCGCCTTTTCTCCCGCCTCATGGGCGGCTTTCCTGCCAATAGGACTAAAGCAGGACAAGCGTCTGCTTGCCCTCGCTCCCGCAGCTCCAGCGCATGTTGAGCAACTGCTAAATGTGCCTCAGCACCCGCCGCCGCCAGTGGACACCGCCGGGCCCAATGCTGATGGAGCTGCGGACATAGCAGACGCATGGCGTGACGTCCCGGTCGACGAAGCAAGCGCACCAGCTGCAGCCCGATCTTCTTCAGAGCACAACACCTTCAGGTACAATCTGGAAGCGGTAGCACCAGCGGCGGCAGAGGCACCAGCGGAGGGTCCCTCTGCGGCATCAGGGACCTGGACGACTTCCAGCAGCGGCTCCCAAGAACCCGACGAAGGAGCCGAAACCAGTACACCACCGCCATCTGGGTCTGACGACTTACCAAACTACAACAGAGGCGACTCTGCGGTCGAAGATGACATTCGTTCCAGGGATGGGGACCACGACTTCTCAGACGGGCTGGACATTCGCACCGAGCCCGTCATCACACAGGATGACGAGTCCGCCGTTGCGCCAGCCGTGGAGGGGGCGCCCGGGGACGTAGAACCGATGCCCGCGGAACCGATACCTGCTGGCATGGAGTCGTACAGCCCCGGGCTGCGGGCTGAAGATAGCCGCCCGCAGTCAGAACTGAGCAGCATGGTTCCAGAAAAGGAAGACTACGTACCGCAGGCAGCATACTTCAGGGCAGTTGAGGAAGTGGCCGCAATGCCAATCGGAACTGAAGGGGGAGGGCGGTGGGGCGGAGATGACGTGGGCCTGCTGCAGGCGGGAGCGGCAGCGGCAGAGGGGACGGAACATGCATTTATGACGCCGGGCTCGAATGATGTGATTCAGATCGGGGAGAACACGTCAGTGACAGATGCAGCGCAAGCAGCGCCTGCACCCTCACCAGTGAAAGCGGAGGTTTTGGATGCAAGGTCTGCCGCCGAAAAGGCCACTTTGCACGTGATCTCGGCGGGGCAATCTAACGAGCTGGGTTTAAGTCCAGATTGTTCCTTGGAACAAACCGATCAACGATTAGCTGCTCAGTCCCCCTGGCAAGAGGACGACTTGGCACTGGTGGACTTGCAAGGGGGGCAATCGGTGGGACAAGTCCTCGCCTCCGGGGCTGGCGAGCCGACATTGAAGGTTGCGGTTGCGGAGGCGGCAAATAAGCCTGCGCCATGGCAAGTAGCACTGGGGTCTGCTTCACTCTCGCTCTTGTACAAACTGTATGATGATGATACCGTGCATGGAGAGAGGAGACGTTTCGCGGCCGACTTGCTCAATTCACTTGCACGGCGATCGCTAGCAGTGCAGCAGCAGCTTGCGGCGCCAAGTCACACAGTGGCCGCGGGCGTGGCTGTGGCCGCGGCCGCGGTGCTGCTTGTCGCCTTCCTGCAGATTATATTATCGGCTCGGGCAGCGCGCCGCCAGGCGCGGGATCTACGTGTTGCCCTGGAAGGACTTGAAACTCAGGTGGCTGATGCACGCAGTGACGCGAAACGGCAGCGTGATGTGCGCGCCGCGACGGTTCGCGCGTTGGCGGTGTCAGCTCGGGAGCGTACAGCAGCCGCGGTGCAGATCGCTCAGCAGGTTTCGGAGCTGCAGATTGCGCAGACGGAGCTGACGGCTGCATTAGTGTCTGCAGTGCGAGACTGGCAGGCTCGAGGGCAGATGTTGACAGCAACCTTGAGGCGATGCCGTCGAAGGGCGGAGCGCTTGGCTCAGATGGCGGCTGTGGAGCGTGTAACGGCGCAGGGGGAGTTGCGGCTCCAAATGGAGGCGGCGGAACGCCTGGCAGTGTCGGACAGGTTGCGGCACGCGCAGGAGCTAGCGGAGCTGCACCAGCAGATTGAAAAGGTACGGTGTGTCGGGTGCTTCTCCGCTTCCTTTTCTGTCCGTAATGTCGGTATTGCAAGCCCATTTAAGCCTGTGTTCCCGCTTGCTCTGTGTTTTTTTTATAGCTGGCGGCCCTTGGATTGTCCTTGGTTTTCGCACATTGGCATCCCGTTACGAGATTTAAGAATAAAAAAACACGAAAGACAATTTAAAGACACTACTTAAGGTTAGACACACAAGACATTAAAGAAGACACTGGAACTGAAGTGCGTTCTCCTGCAACCTGCTTGCATCTTGGAACCAACACCCCTCAGGAGCTGGACGCCGAGCGGCAGCGCAACTCAGCCACTGCGGCGGCGGCCCAGAAGCGCTGCGCGCAGTACGCGGCAGCGCTGCGAGATCAGCGGCGGCGCAATGGCCGCAACCTGGCGGCATGGCTAGCGCTGCGTTCCTGGCTTGGGTTGCAAGTAGAGGCACTCTCGGAGCGGGCCACCAAGCTGGTACGTGCCCGCAAGGCGGCGGGAGCAGCAGGGGCTTGCATGCAAGCGGGGGGCACGCAGGGGGAGGGCGTAATGAGGATGAGCATGCAATTGCTGACAGCAGTGTTTACTACAACTTCTGCTACACATTGTGCTCGACGACTGTATGCGTCACTGTGTGGTCCAACACAACGCCAGTAATAGAACGAAGCTCCTTCTATATAGAAAATTTCAAAACGAACGCTGTATGTTGCGAATTGCTCGGATAGAACTAGCGACCTCTAAGTTTTCAGTTTTGCGCTCTCCCAACTGAGCTAAATCCGCCTTGATGTCAAACTTGGATTGACTTAGATTGAACATATATAGCTCTAATAACAACATCTGTTGTCAGACCTGTAAAGTACAGGCCCTAATTTTGTAGTGTCCCATCAGCTCGCTTGCTTGCTTGGCTTTGTACACATGTCAACTACCCTTACTTGGCGACGATGCAAAATAGAGCAGTGTGCGACAGACTTCCCGGGGGATGGAGATCCTGGGGGAGAGGGGGATGAATGCCTGGATTTCCAGCAGCAGGGATGGAAGGTGTGGGCCTGTCTGGAGCAGTTTCAGGCATGGCAGGCGAGCTGATAGCATTAGCTGGGAAGCAAACAGCAGGAGACAAGGCAAAGAGACTTCGTCTGAATAGGAAAGGATGGTCTTAGTGGATTGATTACCATGACCACACTTGTGTAGCCTACGCGCAGTGGCACGGGTTGCGCCAAAACGGGGCCGTGAATGGAGGTGTCCTCGGCAGCGCCGTCGTAATCATGGCTGCCACAAGTCCACTAATCGTTACCTTACCGTGGGGGACTCATCGCGGCAGCGCGTAACTTTGGAGACTGACGCATGGCCGGGCCGCGTGGCTGGCGGCATCGGGCTACGTGCACAGACGATGTTACTGGGTGTTATCCGCAGGCTATGCTTGGCCAAGGCGCTCTCCATCAGGCCTTTGCATCAGTGCATGGCGACATTCCGGATGCGCTGCCTTAATCTTACTGACACCTCATCCGTCCCCCTTACCCACCCTTGTATTGTAACTTGTATTACTTGCATGGTGTCCATGCTTTGGGTTTCGTTCGCACTATAGCTGGCGTCTTACTCCTGTATGTATGTATGTATGTATGTCTCTCCCGCCGTCCCCCCGCCGTCTACCCTGTCCATCGGCTTTCCTTCAGGCCGCCGAGCATTCTGCAGCCCTTGAAGAGGCAAACTCCGTAGTGGAGAGACATCGGATGCGCGTGGCCATTGTAAAGCAGCAACTCGCGGATCAGGTGGGGGCGCCGACGTCCGCAGATTCTATTTGTTATTGTGACGCAAGCGGACGAATAAATCTACGCAGCCAGTTTACCGGCATGGGGGGCTCCGAGTCTGTTCTCTGAGGCCTTTAGGTAGCTGTCGGGCACGACCTTTTGAGGGCCTTTAGGACGTAAGCGGCCATCGAAACAGAACAGAAGGGGCTTTTCTGGGTCTGGTTTGACACTACTGCAATTAGCGGTTTAAGGTCCTGGGTTCGATTCCTGGGGAGACCCCCGAATTAGTCGGGGGCGCGAGATTATGGCTAGCTGCTGAGATGTGGAGTTGAGGTCACAGTTGATGGACCAGATTCGCACGCTGGATTGGTGGCGATTGCCGAACCCTCCGTCTCTTCGGGTGTTCGGGTGAATGGATGAGGAGGGGTCCCTGAAGGCTGGATCCGCCGCCTTGGACTTACAGTTCGTATGGCGAAGTACAGTGTGGTAGTGGTGGATGGTGCTATAAGGTGATAAATGATCTAGAACTGACAATGTGATAAAGCGGCCCAGAAGCCTCCCACTCTGTAACATTACAAAAAAAAATTACAGAAGGGGCTTTTGGAATGTTCATGGCCTAGCTGAGGTCGGCCTGTGAATGGTGGTATCGCAGCTCATTGGTTTCACAGAGGGGCCCCTCGCCGGCCCCCTTCAGGGGATGGTGTCAATTTTGAGAACCGTTGTCTTTCTGACGCTGCTCACCTTTCCCACCAACGCTGTAGCGGCAAGTCCTGCCTGAGCAATAATGCTGATGTGGATTGTGGGGTTCAGAAATGCACCGCGCGCGCTCACTTTTCCCGTGCACTGGGCGCACCACTTGCAGGTAGCAGTGGTGGTTGAAACTAACCGGACCAACGACGAGCTGGTCCAGTTGCTGGGGGAGAAGGACAGCGTTATTCTGGAGCTGGAGAGCGAGCTGGCGGCCACGACCGCGGTGAGACCTAGAACGTTTACGTGGCACTCTCCGGCCTCGCTGAGTTGTTCCGCCATCATTGTATATTTGCTGTTGCACGTGGTTGTCCAAGTCCCCAAGCCAAGCGGTCCTGCTGCTGACTTGGTCTGCTGGTGCTGATGTATGCGTGCCATGTGGTGGTGGTGGTGGGGGAATGAGGCATTTTATGGAAGGAGTTGGGCCTCGGGTCGATGTGGTCCTGGTGACGGACAATGCAGACCAGGACTGAGGGGCGTGTTAGGGATCGTCGCTATGTGGCTAATTTTTGAGCTGGACTGTGGAATAGGTGGAAGTCCTAGGTTGACGTACCTGGGCCGTGGCATGGTGAAGTATTGTTGCGTTGTTGTCCGATTGATTGTCCGCCAATCACCACCAACCACACACACGCACACTCCCCGGCTTGTGCACCGCTTCCCCACCAGGCACTCGAATCGCAGCGACAGCAACGGGACGATGTGCAGCAGGCTCTCACGTCCACGGAGGAGTCGCTGTCGTCCTCGCAGCGGGAGGCCTCAGCGCTGAGGGCGCAACTTCAAGACGCGCGGGTACGTGCTTTCATGTCGGTCGAAGCAGCCGGGGCAGCGCTCAGGTTAAAGAAGGCCCCCGGGGTGCGGGTGATTAGGAGTGTCCCCGCCGCGCCACCTCTTGAGGCTTTTCGCTGCTTCAGTGGGGGTTGTTTGGCGGCGGCGATGGCGGTGCCACATTGAGAGCATTAAACTCACGTGGGTGGGAAGTTTATTAGGTTTGGGTCCACATCGCGCAGCAGCGCAATGCGCGGTGTAGTTGAAGAGTTCTCAGCGGTGGTGTGCGCCACTCCATGGGTGACGCATTGGTAATGGCCGAGCGTGCGGGGACAGGAGCTGGGAGATCGACGGTGACTGCACTCAGGCTGTCTTAAATCTCGCATGGTTGCGCATCCTGCCATCAGGCACCTTTGAGAACCTTCCCATGACCTAAGCGGCCCAGGTCCCCTTGGTTTTCCTCCCTTGAAACCCTACCAGGCGGCTGTGAAGGACGCCGAGGCTCGCGCGGAGCAGCTCGCAGATGCCAACGCCATGCTTGAGCAGCAAGTAAGGACAGGCGGACGTCGTGTGAGGTGGTGGTGGTGGGCGGGTTCTGCGCGCAGCCAAACGTCTGCCTCTTTGCATGGACGGCCATGGCTGCAGCCCAGTGCGATTCAGGGCTGAACGGGCCATCAGGCTTTAGGCTACGTCGGTCAGCCCCAAATGCTCTTCGGGCGGCGTTTCCCTCGCTACTGTGCAATTGTTCCTTGGGCGTCTACCTGACACCATGGTTTCTTATGCAATACGCAGATATCCCAGTTTGTCAAGACGGTGAATTTGCTTGCGGAGATGGAGGTGGGTGCTCAAAGGACGTGTAGGTCACACATCGGCACTGCTGCTGGACTCGATCCTTGCTTCTCCAACTGTGTACTTAGCCTCAGCCTAAGCCGTGTGTGCAGCAGGAGGGGGGGCCAATACATGCCGTCTGTGAAGGTTCGCCTTCAGACCTGCGGAACCCCTTTTTTAAACTTTTAAAAAATGAATTTGTTACCCCGTATTTTTATCGCCTGTAAAAAATTTCCATTGCAGTTTTATCTTTTGCTACTAGAAAAATAAAGGGGGGATCACCGGGAGGGGCTATTAACAAGGAGGACCTAGGAGGGCTGCACCGCCATTCGTATGCATAGCTTTACGGCATGGGCAAAATCACCGCGTAGCTCGCCTCTCCCCCCAGTCCCCACTCCGCAACGCCCTTCCTCTACCACGCCATCTATAATACCAGAATAGGCAAAACTTGTGTTATTTTGTCCCGAATCCATTATAGGAGGTTAATCTTGCGCCCATAAGGGCCCAAGCCGCGGCCTTGGAGCGGCAGTTGGTGGCGGATCGGGAGGCAGCGGCGGCTGTGGTGGCAGATCGCGACGCGAAGCTCGCCGCTGCGGCTGCTGAACTCGCGGAGGCGCGCAGGTAAGGAATTTGGTGGGGCAGATCGGGACAGCTGATGAGAGCTGCGCGGTGTTGGGGTCGTGAACTGAGGGGTTTTCCAGGGACTTTCGGCACGTAAAATCGGCCGGACCAGGAACGACCAGGAATGATGACGCTGAGGCGTGCTGGTGAATAACCTGCATAGGTGTGTGCTATGCTAAGGTCTAACGCCGCATGTGTACCCTGTTACGGCTGGTGGGGAATGATCTGGGCCGGTGTCCTGCGGATCGTATTGGGCCTCCCGGGTCCCATGTTTCTTTACATGACTCAGACTAAGCTGCTGGGGCCTTCCTAACAATTTTTCGTGGGTTTTTCGTTGACCAGTGGGCTGGTTGGCTGGCTGGCTTGGGGAAAGGACCTTGGCGGTCCTAGAGCCAGGTCACGTGGTGCGAGCCATAGGGAAAGGAAAACAGTTCCGCATAAACGAGGTTATATGCGCTGCATGCTGGAATGCGTGTAAGTGGCTGCGCACTTCTTAGCAGGGGTCGATGCACAGCTCGAATTGTATGGCCGTCGGTGTCTTGGTTGTCGATCCGCATGCTGACACGCTTGGACCCAACGCCTCCAGGGAGGCGGAGGCTGCGCAGCGTGCTCGTGGCGAGGCGGCCAAGAGGCTGGAGGAGTGTGAGCGTGAGCTGCAGACCCTGCAGGTACAGTGTGTGTGTGATGTCAAGTGGTCACATGGACTCCGCACGGCCTGCCCTGACAATTCATTGGCGATTGAGCCCTGGGACTTTGGGATACGGGTTGCGTAGCTGAAGCCGTTTAGGAGATGGCCAGCCAGTATTTCAAGGCGTTCTTCTATCGCCAAACAAAATCGAAGAGCCACATGCGTGTGTGCTTTCCTTATCGTAGTACTCCGCATCAGCTCGCGCCATCTAATTCGTTATTTGTACAGGCTCGAGACACCTGAGTCGGCTGCTGCTTCTTGCTTGTTGATTCTTCTTTCCTCCCTCCCCCGTCCCTGTACCGTTGCCTTCTGTTGCATTATGTTCAGCTGGAGCTGAGTCGGATAGAGGAGGAAGGCCCGGACTCTGCCGTGGGGTTCAGCTCCAAGCAGCCCTCGCTGCGCGACCAGCATCACGGCGACCATCGTGATCGGGACCAGGAGGCCGTATTGCAGCAGTTGCTGGGCCCTCTTGCCGGGCTTACACCGCTCCCTCTGCCACCTGATTCCCGGACACTTTTTGCGGTTGCATCACCGGCCTCCGCCTCCGCTGCTGCTGGAGGCAGTTTGATGTCCGTCGCTGATCGGGGCGGTGCGGGTGGTAGCAGCAGTGGAGCGCGAGGTAGCAGCGCGATGTCTTTCGGCGCGACTTCGGGGCTGCGGAAATAGTTGGGTCGGGTTACAGATTTACTACTGCTGATTGGCAAAAAGTGAAGGGATTAGTTGGCTTGCTTCGGTTTAGTTTTTGGAGGTAGGTAGTAGCAGTTGGTCTAGCATTTGCGAAGGGAGGTACAGATGCAGGACCGTACATAACGTTGCGAGGGATGCGATTTCAACGAATTTTCCTATTAATGGCGGGCTTCGTGGCAAAGGAGTTCAGACTAGTTGACGTTGGTTTACGATACGCGTCCCGGTATGAGTTAGCCGGTTCATGCCTGGGGAAGTCTTTTATTGAAAGAGCCGTGTTTTTAGCGACTGTTCTAACCATATTCCTAGGTCGCCACCAGACAAGGCTGCTAGGTGATAGAGGATAGCAAGCTGCTGGTTGACGAGAGAGGAGGCCTATGAAAAACATTTTCCTGATTGGGGATTTTGGGCGTCTTGTTGGGCGTTAACAAGTAGTTACCTTGTGCGTACACACATCATTGCGCTTCCCTGCAAACATGCATAGGTCCTCGAGCAAAAATTGTGTACTGGGCAGCACAGAATGGGTTTGTTGCCGACCGGCATATCGTCTGTATGCGATGACAGAAAGCACCGGAAGTATCGTGACACATGTACATACGAAAGAGTGTGTGTGTGTGTGTATGTGCTATTCATGCACGTTGTCGCGCTGTGTGCATAGCGATATTATTATGCTGCATAGTTTGTTATGTTGCATAGGGCTTCTGAGAGTCGATCTACTTAACCATCGGGGGTTATGTTATTCATGAGGTGTCTCGTTAACCGGTCCCCATCCTCGGCATGTACGGCACTAGTCGCTTCGCTCCGATACCTAAGATCCTGGTCATGGTTGCCAGGAGCACGGGATTTTGTGCTTACATTCGATAATGCACTGGTTCGAGTCCTCTACAGCTGTACAAATGCGATGTGTTGCAGTGTAAACCCATTTTAGTTAATCCTGTTCGCTAGTTTGTGATGATAAGGCTCAGGTGAAAATTTCTGAACCTGTAAACTATGGCTACTAGGACTGCGGGAAATGGCTAGGGTTGCAGGCGCATTAGAAGTTAGAAATAATACTAGAACTAAACTAATTAGAATTCTAATGAGAAAGTTAGAAGACCCCTTGAGAACAGATTAGAACGTTCTAATGTCGTACACCCATTAGAATGGCTATTCAGACCGCCTCCGCAGCCTGCAACGGCACATTTTTCTAGCAAAAATGGCTGATGCTGATGCTGGGCCATCAAAATCACCAGTTTCGAAGACTCCTAAAGCAACATACACTTATGGCAACAAGGAGCTAGACGCTCCAGCCTACGCGGAAGCCCTGAAGAGTGCAGAAGCGAGAGGCAGTGCTTCCTGGTGGTCGTTTTTCACCGTGATCTTGACAGAAGGAGTCGTGAAGCTGTAGTGCACCATTTGCGGCGAGGTGCTGGGTGCCAAAAATCCGTCTGGAACAGCTCCCAACCATCTTAAGAAGCACAGCAAGGCAGCAGACAAGGCGCAGGCGCTGGCGTCACAGGAGGGCAGCGAGGCGGAGGGCGCCACACCTGCAGTGCCGTCCGGCGCGAAAAGGTCTCGCTCATATGACGGCACGCCCACTCCGTCCATGCGGCTTTTCATGCCATCTGCCAACCAGCTATACGTCTTCCTGAAGAATCTGGCCTTGTTCTTCTACACCACCAACATCGCCCTTCACCTTATCGAGAACCCCTACCTCGTTCAGGCCTGCCCTGCCCTGGGGGTCACACTGCCCAGCCGCTGGAAACTAGCAACCACTATGCTTGACGAGGCGCACGCGGAAACAGTGGTTGAGAAAGAGTGTGCGGCTGGGGAGGGGCTTGCGTGTATTGCCAGTGACGGTTGGCGGAGCCGCGTTGCGCTGGGTGGTACCCCACTTATCAAGTTTAAGACAGTCTAAGACAGTTTAAAGGCGAAATAAGTAACCCAGAGGTCACTTCGACCGGGGGTTTGGCTAAGTCCTGCTTACGGGTGTCGTAGCCCCATAAAAACCGTTAAAAACACCTGGGTTAGCATCTGCCGTAACCATGATGAAACTCCGAAGTGAAAAGTCCCCCTCCCTGAGAAGTTACCCCAGGTCTTCTAATGTTATTTCTAACGTTCTAATTAGAAATAATATTAGAATTAGTAGAGAACGCCTGCCATTCTAATAATCTATGCAACCCTAGAAATGGCTAATGTTTCGTCACCACTGTTCAGCTGAGCGGCTTATCGGGCGCTATTTTGAATACTGTAACAACTAAATGCGGTCCATTCGGTTCAGTTTATGCCGATACAGTTCAATAACTGTTATGCCTCTTAGGGTCGTAGTCAATATGCTTCATGGAGCGAGTAGTTTGAAGATGTTATCAAAACGTGACTCCTCTTCCGTAACAAATACGGGATTAGGACTGACTAGCGTCATTAACGCAGATGGAATGACCGCCCGCGCAAAGACCCAAATGTCCCGCCATAGCAAACCCACTATAGGAGGCTGTGCGACTGAATAGGACACTGTAACACAGCTCCCGACCCAAACAATGCTCTCAGCCGCCTCACACGCAAGTGCCCTATCCAAAACATCCAAAATGCTCTTACCCAAATATCCACGATGCATTGGCGTATCCCCATGCCATTTATCCTAAAATCTTTCCGGTCGGAAGGTCACCCGAGCATTTCAATCCAGCCACCTCAAGATCTGAATATACAAACAGAAGGCCTGGAGGGCCAACGCCGTTCCAGTCACAGACTCACTAAACCAGGGCTGCTGTCAAACAACTACTCTTAAGCAATTGGACTGCCAAAGACACGCATGGTTCGGCAGAATTGCATATGCCCTGCCAAGCGAGCGGCGAGATGTTTTCCTAACAGAACAGCAAACTGAGGGCGAACAACTGCAGAAGACACCCCGAGCACGCATAGCATGCTAATCAATAGCTAATCCGCAAGGAGGTCATATAACCCCTGATGACAGATTCACCACTCCAAGACCTAAACTATCACCAGCCTCCGGCATGGACGAACCCATCCACGTCAGTAAAACAGACAGTGCATGATGAACCAATTAGCGCAAACCATGAACTGCACTTTTGACGCGCTTGTAAGGATACCCAAGTTCCAAGCACGAGGTTACGTCCGATGATTTGGCATGCCATACATCCTGCGGCGTATGTTAGTTACCCGGCCCAGACACATGCTCTTCTCGCCGCCCGCCGAACATATTATTGCTGCTTGCACTCCGGCGGCTGCTGTTGCCCACCCGCTGCTTGCCCTTCACCACCAGCACCGGCCCCGGCCTCGTCCTCCTCACCCTCCTCGCCTTCCTCATCGTTGAACCTGCACAGTGGAACTGAAAGCCTGATCGCCAGTGGTTTTTCACATTACAAGGGTCTACAGTACGGCCATATGTGGCATTGCCAACTTACTCTTCATCCTCGTCCTCATCCTCGTCAGGAATGTAAAGGCCATCCTCATCGACCGCCTCGCCGGTGTACCAGGACACAGCTTCGGGAATGAGCTTCTCGCGGATGGTGGCACCAACCTGCGAGAATCCCACCAGTCCAACTTACGTCCATATTGATTGAATCGAAGTTGAAGGGCAAATGTTGCAACTTGAGTATTGTGATCCGCATTTTGCAAACTGCTGATCCATTGAGTAGCCCATTGCTACCACCACCAATAAATCATTCAGGTTATCAGCGAGCGGTAGGCTTCACCTCGTAATCCGCCTCAATAATTGCTTGGAGCTCCTCCATCGTATCCTCGTCAATCTCCTCCTCGCTGTCCGGAACCTAAGGGAAATCGTCCACATGGACCAAGACCGTGTCAGCAACAGCGCCATCAGATAACAGCCCCATGAATGTACGAGGTACTATACCTGGGGCGGGTCAAAGAAGTTGAAGAACGAATCCACGCGCTCCGTTTTGACCTGGGCAACACATATTTCAAAATAATCATTGTGACATTTGCTGATGCCAACATTCACCTTCAGATGCAGATCGCTCTGCCTCGTCCCGAAAGCCACAAGCTGAAATAACCACGCAACTCTGATCCAAGTGCACGCCGTCCTCAAGGCCGTGCAAGCATATGCACATACCTGCGGCTTCGCATCACCCTTGCCGCCCTTCTTAGGCTTCTTCTTCATGATCTTTACCGTCACATCCTTGCCTGGGAAACGGGGGAAACATGTAAAAAATTCAGTTGGCAACACCGTGCAGAAGGCAGCAAGCACATGAGTACAAACCTGGGCTCCACTCGATTTTCGTGCCCTCAGCTCGCTCGAGGACGCCGTCATCCTCTGGGAGCATATAGTACGTTTTCTCAAGCACCTGCATGCAAGCGCACAGCATGGGGTCAACAAAATGCACACCATTCCTGCTTACAAATTTGCTGTGGCTGCTATTCCACGCCTAGCAAGGGGCACGCGGGATACATGCCGACGCGAATTAATGCCACTGAAATCATTTCGCAAAACAAAAAACCTAAGACCAATACCCATGCGCATATCGGCTGGAACACGACGCACAGCAGGTTTACCATGCTTGCGGCAACGTTGTAGCTGACACGTCAATATTCAGCACAGTTCGCTGCGAGATCAACTAATGCGACTAAACGTTAGCCCAATACTGATTCTTAGCCCATTACCTCGTTAGTGAAGTACGGGTTCGCATCGAAGTAGAAGCGTAGCTTGAAGCCATGGGAAACACCCTCGATAACCAAACCCTCAGACTGAAAAGGCAGACACCATGCAGAGCATAAACATCAGTATTATATGGGTGCTCCACACCAAACACATCTGGTGTGCTGATATGGAAACTATCTGAGAGGATATTGTTTCAGCTACAAACCACGGTTTCATGAATCGCTCTCAGGAAGATTTCTCCCCAAACTGTGTGTGAAGTGCTAGTCATCCGGGAACTCGCACCACAAGCAGAGCACAAAACCGTGAAGCGCACATGACAATTCCGCGTGTTCCGAGGTCTGCCACACCTGAATGTCGCGCAAATACTTAAGGACGTCCATGTCTTTGTCCTTAATCATGTCCATCGTCACGTCGCACTTCAGGAGGACAGCCAACCAGAACTCGGGAATGCCTTTGAAGTTCTCTGCACGAAAATGGAGCAGGTCGGAAAATTAGGTAACGAAACCCTGCTCCGCTAAGGCTCCGACACTTAGCCAAAGGCCTCACCTTCGCCGGCGGGCTCGCCCTCCTTCGGTGGCACATCCTTAGAACCTTGAACAATGTCCGAGCGCTCCACGTAGAGAGGGGCTGTGAGAAAAGCGAGACACAATCGCTTTCGAATATGGGATCTTTAACAGCAAGTACCGGAATAACACACCGGAATTACATGCCGGAAATCGTTTACACACCATAAAGCTTCTCATATTTAGCTTCAAGCTCAGCGCGCTCCTTGCGAAACTGCGTCTCAAGCTCATCGTGCTTGGACTGCAGCTCCTGAAGCGCCTCCACGCGCCTCTTGATTGGCGGTGGAAGGCTAGCAACAAACTCCTCTGGCGTCTGGTCCAAGCCAAGCTTCGCCAACTTGGCCTGTGGCGCGAACAGCATGGGGCTCTCTTCAAATTTGGAGTATTTTAGAGACGTAGATTTCCTGAGAGAGAATTTTCCTACAACTGTATTGTTCCATCTTTCCAACAAAGACAACAAGCGAAGGCTCCAGCGGCGGCGTTGGAAGAGCAGAGGCGGCGGTTTCGCGTCTAACCTGGATAAGCTGCGTATCAGAATCTTGGCCGGCCATATCTGCAACTTTTTCCAGGATCGCGAAAACCTGACACATAAATCCACAGAGTTGCACCGTAATTTGTTGGCTCCGCGCGCCGTACCGTCTAGTGCCGTAACGCGGCTGTACAACATTTTTTTCTAAAATTTTCATCAGTTGGTTTTCTAAGCTGCATAGCTACAGTAATATGTGAGAAGCAGGTGTCAATCGGATTCCGAACATTTGTGCCATAGAGTCGGACGCGGGGAACAGGAATGCACAGTATTAGCGTATCGGAATGCCACACCGGACTACCAAAACCTTGCCGCGCCGGGTGGTCATGTAGCTATAAGTACGAGAGAACCTCACCGGCAAGCAAAGATAATATCGGTCTGTACGTGCGGTTTAGGGGGCCCGGAAGTTGACCACCAGCCGAAGCGGGGTTTCGCGGCAGGTTGGGGGTTCCCTGCACAGCATTTTGCGCTGCACAGAATATCTGTGTTTCAGGCTGATTCCATGGGAGAAGGAACTTAATTGGTTGCCCTGTCAGCCCATCCACAACAGGGTACAAACGAATCCCCTTGCATTGACAATGCTTTAATTTCTGCGCGTCACGGGGATAGCAATTGTGCGTAGCCGCAGTAGTGGATCAATATCTGATTCCTTGAGACACGCCTCATGCCAAGCCTAATCTGATATAGTCTTGTAGTGTGGCCACCCGCAGGTTGTCAGGCCATAACTGGGCATGCCGGAGCAATGGATGCATCGCGTTAAGCTGGAACCGCACACGATTTAAGGAGGAAGCCCTTCGCAATTAGACAGCTCTGGCTTGGCTGACCAATGCCATATCCCGGCTTTACCTACGGCTATGCAGGCGTACCTGCAGGACTTCTCTACCTGCCCTACCTGCCCGCGTCAGCCTGCTTTATTAAAGGTGCCTCAATATACGTAATCGCTAGCAGTTTTGGAGTGTTATCTATTACATATGACTAACAGTAGTACCAGCGGAGTCCGACGGATCTGACAAACATTCTTTCAAGTAGACGTCCGGCGTCTGGCGCAAATTAGCGACCTGTCCCAACACTAAATAAAATCCCAAAACTTACAGTAACAAGATGAACATCATAGCGGGATATTTTCATCTTAAGAACATTGTTTGCATACTTTGGCTGGCTTCGGCAAGGTGTTCTTGTACGATTAGCGCCAAGAAGCTCGCAGACCGGACGAAGGGCAACCGCAAGACAAGGATATTAGCTACGTTTGCCGCTCTCTACATGCTGCTCCAGGACTTTCCGGCCGCCCGGTTGGCCGAGTAAACGAATGGCGCCTAACGCCGCTACAGTATATTCTACCGGAGCACCGGTGCTAATAGCAACCAAACACTAAATAGGCCAACATAGCAACACCTCCTCTTGTTGGTCGTGGCAAATGGGCCCGATCCCTTGCTCGTCACGGCCTCGCCGCATCTCGGTCATTGTCTTATACTACCTTTCCGACTTCGCACCCAGCACTACGCAGCTCCTCCAGCACAAGCACGCAAAACCCAGCCAGCTCCAGCCTACCCCTGCCTTCACCCGGTTGCAGGCTGGAATCCGTGTAAGGACCGGTTTTTCGCTTTAGGGTTCCCTGGACCGGACAGCCGGGATTGCATGCGGCTCATGCGAATATCCACAGCATCACATTCTTCATCCACCTCAACGAAAAACCCCACCCCACAGTTAACCACCAGACCCTTGAACGGCAATAGCTGGCATGCATGTGCTCATTTTGCCAGACAGTCTTACTGTTCCGCCACCATCCGCTTGGACCACCAGCAGCTGCGGACGCAGGGAATACAAGAGCATCAGCGTGTGCCATGCAGAACCCCATCCGCCACATGGAGTTCCAAGCTGGTTCCATTTGCCTGGTTATGTTCCATGTTGAACCTGAAAGAGCCACTCCTTTTTTAATATGAGCTGCTCTTTGCAGATTCGCAGCTGTTACGATGTGGGTTGTCGTCCTACTCGGAGAGAGGCCAAGACCCGTAGCACTTTCGGTCGTTGCCAGCCTATTGATTGAGAACTGCGGCCCTTAACTAGGTGCCCGGCTGCTTTGAGTTGGGATTGCAGGACGCTGCTAACTACGAATACAACTCAAGCCTTGAGGCACCGAGCTTTCTGAACTAGAAGTGCTGTAAGCGACAGTATGCTTGGCGAAGGGGGGAAAACGAGGGGTAGGGAGAGGAATTTTCTAGCAACTACGTCCAACTACCCTCTCCTCGGAGCCCCCATTTCGGCATCTGTGAGTATCCTACTAGCGAATATGCGTCCTGCATATGAAAATGCACCGAAGATAAGGAAGCCATTGCTTTCAACTGTACACGTTCCGTTGCAAGGGAACAGGGTAGCACAAGGGGAAAAGCCCGATTGAGCGATTGTAGCACACGCGTGGTCAAGCCTAACTTCCCGTTGGGCGAGCGCACCGAAGCTGATTTCCTCACCATGCGTGAGCCGTACTAAACCCATGTACGCCAGTGTATCTTACATGGTACAATGTACGGCATACTTTATGATTGTGTAGCTTGCAAATTATTTCTGATATTGCTCTGTACTTCTTACACATGATGAGGTTGACATAGAGTCTCGAGCCACTTGCACAGGGAGGACGGGAACCGTATGAGGGTGATACAGCGCCGGGGCTGGCTCACAGGCGTGGGCCAGGCTTTCCGTAAGCCAGATCGCCATTTCGGTGTAAATGTAAATGCTGCTGAACTTGAGGTTCAAGCAAAAAACGTCGGCGCGCAACCCGACCCTGATGTGGCATTTTTGCAACGTAAGGGTTATTATGCGCACATTTCGCGACAAACCTGACACAATGTTTTCTAAGATTGGTGTTTCTTACAGTTCTATCGCAGAGCTTTGGGCAAGGTTCATCGCCTCGCCCACTCCTCGCGAACATACCTGCAGCTGCTGAATTGGTAGGTATCCATGCATTATTTTGAAACACCGCTGTCTATAATAAAAGCATCTTGTGCCTCTGCAGATGGGAAACGCAGTCCTTCAATCCCCAAGCCCTCAGCCCCTCTACGACTTGCCCACTTTCCTGGAGACGGCCTACCCGCAGGTGGGAAAGCCCTTCATAGTAATGGAGGCGAAAATTCTAACGGGCTGTCTTAGGCTGACGCGCGAGGGGACCTTGTCTTAATAGGCTCCACGGGTCAACTGACATGTTCACGACTGAACCACACGGTCTGCTGGCTGAGCCATCCACATAATTTATGCAACTCACGCAGGCCAGCGTCCAACCCCGTAATCCCGGCTATGATTGGCGCATTTGGGCCCGCAAAAATCTTACATTGGAAAGCCTCTCTGCCTCCGCAAAGACTGATGACCAGCAACGACCGCAGCAGCAGCAGCAGCAGCGGGAGGACCTGCTGGCTCTGCTGCTGCAGACCGATGCGCACATGCAGCTTCCCGCATCTCGGCAGGAACTCCTGCGAATAGCCAAGCTGGTGGGTGGCATAGCAGCGCGGGAAGGTTAGGGGCCGGGGGGCCCGCAGCATGTATGAACTGCCTGCACCCCCAGTCGCAAGGTTGTGGTGGCGGATCTTTCCAACTCAGCTCTATAGCTCAAACGACGTCAGGCATGCGAGGGAGCAGAGCAAGGTCAGGAGCCTCAGGGATTGGGCAAAGGCGACCTTTTTTGGAGTATGCACGGACATGGCGGTGGTGGTCAACTCCTAGGCTTTGACTTTATGTCCTTGTCTTGTATCGGAACGGAGCGTTGGAACGTACCGGAAAAAAGGAATGGGATTTGGGTCGCATATGTGGAGGGAGGGTACGGGGATGTGCAGACACTGCAAGGCCGGAAAGTATAAAGTACCGCGTCCCGAGGTAAACATGTCCAGTGTGTGTGTGTGTGTTGCTTTGTTGCGTTTACTCGCTGCCAGTACAACACATTCGCACACAGGTTGGATTGGGTCAGGGCAGAGCGCGCGGGACCTTACCCTGAGTTGATACTTTTGCTGTGCGACATCATCATCACGGTTGCTCATCCATCTCTCGTCGCTGTGCATGTGGGACAGGAGCTAACCCATTTGTGGTATTATCAGCAGCAACAACAACAACAGCTGCAACAGCAGCAGCAGCAGCAGCAGCAAGGCCGACGCGTTGGCGCGGTATCACCGCTGGAGGGCGCTCGTTCGAACGGGCCGAACGGCGCGCAGTCGTCTTCGTCAGCGGGTGAGCAAAGGTCCTAGACGAGTGGTAGCGCCTGTAGTGAGTTAAACCCCCTCGTCTCTTACTTTACATCACCCCTCCTGGGCCGCCGCTCGCCTCTCCCCGGGGCCAGCCGCCGCAGCCTCTGCGCTCAGCGGCAACGAGGGCTCTCTAGGATCATCGCAACAAGGTCAGCAGCAACCGCATCAGCAGCTGCAGCAGGGGGAAGGTGGAGGAGGTGCTGCAGCAGCTGGTGGTGGGCCGCCAGGGGTTGCTGTGACTGCGGGGCCGCTGCCGCCGAGTGCCGCAGCAAGTGCGGCCGGTGCGACGTCGGGTCGCAATACCGGGGCAGTCAGAGCTGCGGCGGCAACCGACGGCGACGGGGACGACATTTTCGCTGCAGCGGAGCGGAGAGCCCGGGCGCGGGCAGAGCAGCGGCAGTCGCAGCAGCAGCAGCAGATGGACGAGCTGCAGCTCAAGCAGCAGCAACAACAACAACAGCTGGCGGAGCAGACTGCGGTGATGAGGTAGGGTGTAGGGGCGATCAAGGATTACGCCTCTTTTTCTCTTTTTCTGCTGCAGGACGAAAGGTCAGGGTGATGGTAGGGCATGTACAATCAACGCACCGTTGGGGTTAGGGTGTGCTTGATGGCCTGGCCCGTGCTTATGGGGGAGTGGTGGAACAGCTTGTCCTGGACAGACCGCTTGGCTACGTCTAGGAGCTGCATTTCAGAGTGCGGTGCGGTGCGGTGTGGTGGGGTGCGTTTCGGTGCTCTTAGAAAAGCAGCGCTCTTGGCCGCCTTTGTGCCCTCCTCCCCCCCACAACATTTGTGGTTCGTCTTTCCTTACCCCCCCCCACAACATGATGATGATGATGGCTGTGGTCAGGGATCCGCTGTCAAGTCTGCCTGCCGAAGCGCAGTTGCGGCTCCGGGAGCTTCAGAGGCGGGCTGAGGCGTACGGACAGCTGAGGACGGGGTCGCTCGCAGCCACCCTCCGGTGAGTGTGACAACAGAAAATGGGATTACATGACGAGAAAACCTTCTGGATCACAACGGGAAGGAAGCCCCCCCCCGGATCAAAGGACTCGGGGAAACACACACATGAGGACAGTAAAGGCCTTTCGGAATAGCAGCGGAAGCCCGGGGTGTTGCGGGCCGTGTTGGGACTAAGGCGGGTGATGTTGTGGGCCACCAGTGGTATCAGAGGTCGCCGTCATGGGGCGACGTTTCTGGAAGGGTTGGGCTGGTCATCCATCGTATGCCATTCGTGCCGCGTCTTTCTCTTTTTTGTGCAGTAAGTCATACCTACGTTTCCTCATCCCCATTGTGGCCTTTGAAAGGTCTTTTGTCGGTGTGTCGGCTTCTCTGTTGAAGTCCGTGTAAGTGCGCTGACCCTATCGATGCGATTCTGGTGGCGACGAAGAAGCCTGTGATGGAGAAGGCGGCGGGGAGGGGGAGGGATGAAAAGACGAACCACGTGAACGAGTGAAGCTGCTGCCAGGGCAAGAGTGTACCAGACGTAGAACTACTGACCAGTAGGCGTTCTGCGGGTGGAAGGGATGGAGCTGGAGTTGAGGAGCCTAAAATCCAGGCTTAAGTTTTTATCATGTTGCTTGACGTATGCTTGCACTGCAGATGTCTGAACGGAAAAACGGCGCTCCTTTTTCGTTGGCTGTGCAAGTAATGCGCTCATTCCTTGCCATTGCAGGAATGTTGGGGAGGCTTTTGGGCAGCGAGTCTCGTACGGGAAGAACGCATACGGCGATGGCGGCGCCGGTGCCGACGGTGCAGCAAAAACTGCGATAGCCACGCAAATGGCATTCAGCGTTGGCGCCGGGTAAGGGGTTGCTGGCAGCTAAGTACTGCGTGCGCTGCTCCGTAGCCACGTGTGAGACCCAGGGGGCGCCCTGGGGGCCCTGGCGTGTGTTTAACCTTTGTTTAACAGCCTTTGTGGGTTACAGTTCTTGCCGTGTGTACGGCACATGTACGACTGGACTGTTGGGCAAGGAGGCGGCATGTTTATGTCGGTTCCTTTCCCAATAGGGGTAAAGGAGAGGCGAACCGAACTAACTGCTCACGTACCTGCGATTCGGTGTCCATAACCAACCAACTCCCCCCCCCATGGTTCTTATGGCGCCCCACCCTGGTGAGGTAGTCCAGTAATCCAACTTTATTGACATATTATCCACCTCGTAGATCGACTGGTATTCTATAGCTAGCAATCCATCATTGCCAAGCGCCTCCGCCTCCTCCTCCTCCCCCTCTTTCGCTAGTTGGATTCACTGTCTGTGTGTGTATCCCACCGGCGCCTCCCGTGCTCTCCCCGCAATTTCCTTGTGCTTTTGTGCTCCGACACGCGGGCGCTCACACGCACACGCGGGCTCCTGACGCCGACCTCCTCGCGGCGTTCCCCAATGCAGTGCGACTCATGCCGCAGCGCTGCGTCAGACGGTAAGCCGCATTACCGGTCTCCCCCCCCCCTCGGAACCACGAGTATGTATGTATGTGTGTATGTATGTATGTATGTATGTGTATGTGTGTATGTATGTATGTATGTATGTATGTATGTGTGTATGTGTGTATGTATGTATGTGTTGGGGAGGGGGGTTAGATCTCGACGACCACAAACATTTCTTCATCTTGCCGTTCCGGACTGTTGGGGTGTGCCGACGTCGCAATCTCTTCGGTTGCCTCGGTGATGTGCTGATGCTGATGCCGAGGGCGGCTGCTGCTGCTGCTGCTGCTGCCCACGTTGCACATGCCCCGCTAATGCTCGCGGGGTTGTGCACCCTCACCAAGGGTGCTCTCTGGCTGCCGCGTGACGAGGGGTGGGAAATAACGATGGAGCGACATGGGCGGCCCACATGGGCCCCCAGTTGTGTCATGTAGCGGTGTCCCCACGGGTGCGCCCACCCCACCCGTCACACACCGTGAGTGGTGCCCGGAGTGTTCCCAACCCCGCCGCCAGGTGCGGGTGCACGTACGTGCGACAGCCAATCTCCCCTGACACTGCCCTCTGCTCCCTTCGGTCCTCTGGATCCCATATCCCAGGCTAATGCCGCCGCGGACACGCAGCTGTTGGGAGCGGTACGTGGGAGCGGTGGGCCCCCTGGGGCTGTGGACGTCTCGTGGTGATGGTGGTGGTGATGGTGTTAGTTTGTTGGTTCGTCCTATGGCCACGTGTTTTAAGGGGCAGTAGAGGCCAGGGCGCACATTCCCGCATATCCACGTGGCAATGGGGGGCCATCGTGGCCTCTTCAGATTGGCAACTTGTTCCATCAGGGGGCCGTGGGTTCGCCTCGTCGGTCGGGAGCAGCATCTGGCCGGCAAGGACAAGGGCGTAAGGGAGGAAGTGTGTGTGGAAAGGGGGGTGGGAAGGTAGGGAGTGAACTTGCTTTCTTTCGCATAAGGACTGCCTTGAGCATCCTCCACACGTCCTCCGCTTTGTAAGACAGGCGCTGGATTTGTTTTCTTTCCATACTTTACAGTCATGGAACTTTTAGCGATACACAAACGATGTTTTCTGCGCCGTTTTTTTGTGTGGTGCCCAAAGGATGCAAAGTCAACGTCCTCGTTGTCGTACTGGGTCGAGCACCCGCTTCTGTCTTATGGCGACAACATCTTGGCGCTGGCTGTCCGTCGGAACGCAACTCGCCGGCTGGAGTCCTCGTCCGGGTCAGACGGCAAGGCCAGGTGTGATTTGGCTGTGTGTGTGTGTGTGTGTCTCTGTGTCTCTGTGTGTGTGGCGGTGGGGTGGGGTGCGGTTGGGCACGGGGCCGGGGCATGTGCACGGATGGCCCTATGGTGCTTGATCCTCTGTTCCGTGCGTATGTAAAAAATGTAATATGCGTGTATGTAATATGTTTAATATAAAAAATTATACACATACATGTATACATATACGTATGTACTAATGAATTGTACTACTATTATGTATTACATGTTACATTAAAACTCCGCAATACAATTAGGAGTGGAGCTGTCCGACCATAATCTGTATGATGTGTGAAACAGGCGGGTATATCTTCACCCGTGGCCGCTACCCTGCGAAACCCTGCCGTCCCCGGTATTTCGGGGCACCCTCATCCAGTCACCCTAGCCAACTTCTCAGTGGATCGCGCAGGCTCCGCACCCACCACCAGCATCCAACTGTATGCTTAGTGGGCGATTTCATAGCTCACGAAGCATAAAGAGCAGGAGTGTGCGTATATATATGTATATATACAGTATACTATGTGTTATGGTATATCATAGATAACCCCGTTCCGGTCCGTGTGCAGTTTGGCAGCCGCAGTGGCCTCCCTCAGCAGCTCCTTGCCGCGGCAGGTGCAGGACGCCGCGGGGCCCCCAGCCACCCCGGTGTTGTCGCTGCTGCTGGACTATCTGAAGGTTAAATACCTGGACGTGCTGCATGCCTGGTAAGCGCGCTGGTGTGGGGGGTGGGTAGCTAGGTGGCTGGGTGGTCGTTACAGTGGGCTCCGGACTCAGGAAGAGTAGAACCAGCGGGCCAGCGGGCCGTGCACTGGTTTACTGCAGCTGAGGCGCTGAGGCGCTCAGGTCAGTCAAGACACCCACCCAGACCGCCAGGCAACGCAAGCAGTCACCGTGATAGACAGCAGGAAGCGAACCCAAAGGGAAGAAGGTGCAGAAACCCGCATGGCCAGGGAGGGGGGAATTCGCCATTAGGATTTCCAACTGGCGAAAGGCCCCGGACCTCCACCAGAAGGCCCATAAAAAAATACTGACAGAGCTGAACTTGCAGGTTGGGTTACTAGATGAGGCCTGAGCCCCAATAGTTCGCCCCAACGTAAAAGAAACCGGAGTAAAGAAGCGGATCAGCTAATAGCTAATCGTCCATCTGTGACCGTTCCCGTAGTGAACGTAGCAACTTGTCCGACACGAATCGCAAGGAAGGGTGCTGAGGGGGCGGTTCACCAGTACTGTACTGTACTGTACTGTACTGGTTGGAGCAACGCACCGGAAACGGCTGTGCAAGTGGCCTTCTGCACGGATCTGTGACGTATGGTTAACGGGGCTGTGTCGGCCTGCACAGCGCTAATTGAATCCGCGCGCCCCCAGTCCGCATTACGAACTGTGGCAGCGTGTTTGTATGATTATGTACGTTTATACATTTCGCTGCTGGCTGGCTATTGCTTTGAGCAGGGAGGTGGCCGAGCAGCTGCACGCGGCGACCGAACGAGTGCATCGTGAAAAGGCGCGGCAGCAAGCGACGATGACAGTTCAGGTGGGGGTGGGGATAGGTATACATGAGCGATGGGTGCGATGCGATCGTCCATCTTGTGCTGTTGCCCTGCCCTGTCTGCTTTGTCGTGTTACTACTTGGCAACTTGCTTTAATTAGTCGGATTCACGCAAACAGACCCGATCGACTGGATTCGCTCTGATCGCCTCTGCCACCGCCTCCTCCTCTGCCTCCAACGACGAGGACGAGGACGAGGGCGACGAAGAGCGTTGCGTTACCGTCGCAGCGTCTTCATGCCGCCGAGGCCCGGCTCCGCGTCACACGACCCTTGCCTGCACAAGCACACACGAGCCCAGTCTGCGCTGCACTGCCGGCCAGCTGCGCCTTAACCACCTGGCAATCACCATCGCCCTACCCGCGCTTTTTCCTTCTCCCTTACGCAGGTAAGCGAGTTGCTGCCAGCTACCGTGCGTGACGAGTTGTCGCGCACCTGGGCCCAGGCAGCTGCATCGTTCCGCCCGGAGGTTCTGGATCCCCTGCTTCAACAACCGGTGCCTGTCGCCGCCGCCGAGGCCACGGGTGCTGGTCCCTCAGCGGCTGCGACGGCATGGGAACAACTGCAGAGGACAACCGCCCAGCAGACTCTGCTCACGCCGTTGGACTGGAAGGAGGCTGAGGTGATGCTGAGCGACATCGCCGCGCGTCGGGATGCAACGTTGTCCGCTCCCGGCAACGGCGGCAACGACAGCGCTGCGTCCATTTCTGGTGATAACCTCCGAACGGCCGTTGTGCAGCGTGCGCTTGCGCCGGTTCTCGCTGCGGCGATTGCACGCCACCAAGCGCTGCTTCGGGGGCCCCATGGCAGCGGTGATATCGGTGGCGGCGCTCTCTCCGCCAGCACCGCCAGTACTGCTAGTACCACCATGTCGACCACGTCGGCTGCATCCGCGTCGGAGTCCTCCGCTGCCGCGCTGCCATCCGCCTCCCGTTCCGCCGCCACGGTGGTTTGCTTCCGGGAGACCTTGGTGCTGGACGCCAGTTCCGCGTTCGAGGACTCGTCGCACGACTGCAGGTGGGCCGGGCTGGTGGGGCAAGTGCCAGTGCGGCAGTCTATCTACCCCTGCCGTCCGGCGCGATGTGGCTGCGCGTCCTTTGGTGTTGGTGCCTGCCCCTGCCTTCAATCACTAACCTGTCTTGGCGTGTGCCCGCTTTTCATGGTGTGTTCCTGCCCCAGTGCTCCATGAGGTTGTGGTCTCCTTTTATAGCTGTGGTCTCCTTATGAATCTGTGGTCTCCTTTTCAATCTTCTTCACTGCCAGGGTATCCCTGGAGTTCGATATTGACAGGCTTGCGGCATCAGAACCGGGTCTAGGAGGTGCTTGGGGGGCGCGCTTCCTGGAGCGTTTGCTTGCGTTGCCTACCTGGCCGGCAAGTCGGCGGATGCCGGGCGGCAGCATGGCAGGCCGCGCGCGACGTGGTGCATCCGCTCGATCAGCTCTGATGGCGGCGGCGTACCCCGTCGACGTGGAGGCCAGGTATGGGTATGCGTAGATAGGGCAACTGCTGATTGGGAGAGTCTGTTGTCTCTAGCCGGAGCCCTTTTACCGGAGCATCCTCTTTTACCATCAACACGGTGAAGTAATGGACGCTGTTGAGAGACGTTTCCGTCTTGTTGAGAGATGCTTCTCGACACCTTTTCCTTCCTTGGGGATGTATAGGAAAGCCGTGTTGGTGAGTGTGTGTATGTGTGTGTGTGTGTTTTGCAGAATGCTGCTAATGCAAAGACGCAAAAGGCACGGTGCCCTAAAGTCTGTAGGAACTTACATGATCTTGCCCTCGTGTACTCCCCTGGTCTGGGGTTGGTGACCCCCGCAGCTTCTGCCGGCGCACACGTACCGCCATGCTCACCACCGCCCGCTACCCCAGCCGCGAGGCGAACCGCAAGCTGTTGCTGGAGCGCTACACGGAGCTGCTGAGGGCAGCCACTCAGGCGGTGGCCGGGGCCGCTCCTGCTGCTGCGGGTTCGCCGGTGATGACTGGACAGTAGCGGTCTGCGAGCACTTGGCTAGCGGCGGGCGATTCGGGTTGGGACTGGGACTGGGCCTCGGGAACGGTGGCTGGTGGTGACGGCGTGTGGACTCCTGGCGGACTGCTGCCGCCGGTTCGTGCCCACGTCGGTTCGATGTGGATATATGACACACATGCGCCTTACTTTTGGGCATCATGGTTGGCGGCGGCTGGAAGGTGGAGACTGGGATTGCAGGTGTACGCCTGTTTGTGAATGTGCACATTGTTGTGTATTAAATTGCAATGCCGCCGTGTGGTGGTGTGTACACTGCCTGCCTCATGGGTCACCGCTCGGGTCCGTCCTGGACACATGTGATTGCGTCCCTCTTAACATCGCCTTTCGTACCCATCGCCTCTCCCCCAGCCTCGTTCGAATTTAAATCCAACAACAAAATTCTACTTTTCCGATACACACAAGTACTTCATTTCGGTTCGGCAGCGTAATGCTCAGCTTGATCCAACATTTAATGATAATTCCCCCCCCCCACGTAATAGACATCCCGGAAATCACTTAAGACTTATTCGGCCGTAGCTCAACGCAGCAATGCGGAACCTGCCTAGGAGAGCGGTCATCCAAGAAACGTCGCCAGACAGTCCTTATCGATTCGTGTCATCCATGTATGTATTTATAGTTCATGTCATAAATAATTCCATAGCCACTCGCCAACGTAATGCAAGCAAGGCATATTACTACCCGTATATGTTTACCCAGAACTTCCACCTAACCGAAAGAACTGCAAAACTGCATCAGGCCTCTACTCCTCTCAACTCTTCCGGTGAGCCAACTATGTTCAACTATCCCAAAAAACTATGCACACAACAAAACAAACCAAGTTGTATCACGTCTGCACCAACGTGAGGCCGGTTCCCGTGTACCGCCTACCCAGATAGCCACCCTAAGGCCCCTTCCTTCCACGTCCATTTCCGCCCGCCTGTCCGTCCGTATGTATGTATACATATCTACAGAACCGAGATGATATGCAAGGCTCAACCATACCGCGACGCCAAACCTATGCTTATTGCACTGCGTGTGCGTATTAATGCACGTGATTCGCGATGTTCACACATACACAAACGCTGCACTTCCCCCTCACGCCCTCAAACTTCTATATTCCTATATATAATACCCCCCGGACGGATTCAAACAGCCCTCCAGACCTCCTTGCGTGTCTGTCATCGTACACGCGCACCCACCCACCCACGCATGCGTACCTTCCTCCTCGCTCGCTTCCATCAGGAAAAACACACAGCGTCATGAATGCATGGGCGTGCAGTGTGTAAGCTCAGCAGTGCAAGGAGCAGGAAAAAATCCGGATTCTCAATATGACCGGTCACGACGCCAAGCACGCGAGAAGATAACCAGACGCTGAGGGACCCGCAACCCCGTTCATTCAAGCTAAAAGCTTTATTATCCTACGTCGTACACACAGACTGACTGCCCACTCGCCCAGTCTGAAAGGAAGGAGTTCCCCCAGACAGATACCCCCCAACGTACCCTGCGGTATTCAAACAGACCCCTGGACTCTGCAAATCACATCAGCGGCAGTGCCGCCAGTACGGCGATTTGAACCCGTACCCAGACCGAGTGGTAATTGACGGCGGCGTAACGGGACCTCGCTAACCCGTCTGGGGGCCAGTTCGCCAAATGTGAGGGCGGGGCTCTCCTGCTTACCGCGCTGCACACACCCGCCCACTCCTCCCTTTCCTTTCCACGGCTGCATCCTTAGGTGACGGAGCCCTCCTTCGTTGCTCTAGGCGTACAGGCTCCGCCACGCCGCCGGTGGTTGCGCGATGATGCCCTTGTCCGCCCAGGCGAACAGCCGCTGCATGTGCGGCCTGTAGAGCCGCACCAGGCGGGACCGAGCTTGCGCGAAAGGCCCGTCTTTGGGGCCGTAGCGGTACCCGCCATCACCACCATCCGCGGAGGAGGGCGAGGACACGGACGAGGACGAGGATGCCGCCACCTCTGCGGTCGACTGGGTTTGGATTTCTCCCCTCTTCCGACCACATCGCCAATGCTGCAGGGAGTTGAAGATACATCAAGGGAAGGGGCGAAGTTACCTGAGTCCGATGCGGTGTAAGAATGACCGAGTGTGAGAAGGGTTTTAGGGTTTTAGGGTCGATCCTAAGCAATGATACGGGGATTGAACCCCCGATGTGTCAGCAAGTCAGCAAATGTGGGGAGAGGAAAAACAAAGGAATGCAAAGGATGCGCCAGCATCGCTTTCTAGTTGAAAAAGCTGTCAGGTTTCGGTGTTGGCATACATGTAGCGTTTTACCAGATATATGCATAATCCAAGTTTATAGCAGCAAATGGATAAACAACACACACAGTTATAATAACAGTTTATATCGTTTTAGAAGTGACGGCCCCTGACTACGATGATGAAACGCTTTCCGCATTCAAAAAGGAAAACGTAATTGATCTGACGCCACCCGCGACAACAGACACACACAACAGCTTGGCTGGCATCTTCCTTCCCATCGCACGCCTACGACCATTCCTCCCGCGTGCAGCAGCAGCAGCACCAGCTTACGTAGCATTCTCGGCTGTTGTACACCATGCTGACGACATTGGGGTCGTATGTGTGAGGCGGCGCGCCTAGGAACGCCTCAACTTGCCGCACAGACTCCAGCGGCTTGGCAGCCAGGTCATCTGTGTACAACACACGTACCTGCGAGCGGCGAACCACAGCGCAATTTCCTGTCGTGATGCATACTTAGCAATGGTCACGTAGGCAGTACGCGGATATCGACACGGGATATGTATGGTTGCGGAGTTACTGATGCCGATCGATGGTGCCAAAGGCGCAGATCAATGGGAGAGCCTTTTAAGCTTCGGGGTGAGCTGTATGTATTGCTGTCCTAAGATTTTCAAGGTTTCCGTCCTAGGCTTCCCAGTGCAGTGTACGGCAGTTCGTCGTGGCCCCCGGTCGACGGCCCCCTACCCCCTACCACCCCGCTGCTGGGGTGTGTATTCCCTCGAGGGGGGCTACATCTACCCCTACCGTGGGCCGCTCCTCTCGCTGTCATGTACCTAGCTACGATTAATGGCAAGTCTACATGTCTTTGCCCCTAAAAACCTAGATCCTATCCCCGTGTCCACGTCTATCTCAACACGGGTGCCGCCTCGCACACCCGCCTAGCTTGCAGTCTGGAAACTAGCAGCGCAGGACCCCGCAGGAGGGCACTCAGGAAATCCTTGACCCACCCCTACTCGCCCCGTCCCCCCGGCCAACCTGCTCCTTCGAGAAGTGAGCCAAGTAATTCTCCAAGAACACGTCGTACACGGACCAGCCGACGATATCTAAGGAAGGGCGCGGCAGGACAGGGCAGTGGCGTACCGGAGGAGGAGGAGGAGAAGCCCGTAACTGAAAAAGTGACCAATAACCTGCCCTTGGTGTCAGGGGGCAGGGGGCAGGGGGTGTCAGGAGGTGTCAGGAGAGACCAGACAGGCGGGTAAAAAGAATGGGAGAGGAAGGGGGGTTGACGGGCAACATCAGCCACACAGCCAATCAGGCAGTGAGAAAGCCACTCCCCCGAAAAGGCCCAAATAGGCCCCGAATGGCGGCCCCATATCGCCGCACTTACTGCTTCTGGAAAAGCACTGCATCTCAAACCAGCGGCCCACGTCCAGTCCAGCACCCCACCCTGCCAGCGGCGGCTCCTGGCCAGGGGCCCCTCCGGAACGGGGCTGCCGTAGAGGCGCCGCTCGCGCCACGCACGCCTCGATCGCAGCTGCCTCTCGCTCCGCATACTCGGCAAATGTGAAGTTAACCACCTGAGGGCATTTGCCAATATTCATTGTCGTTGTCACTGGCGATTATTGTCACTGGCGAATACGAAGAAGAAATACGAAGAAGATAAGAATGATGATCATATGGTCAAAAAGGGTAAAATGCCAGGAGGCAGCTGGATTGCGAATAAGTGCTTTTTTGCGGCGGGCGCCGAGGTCGCACCGCAAGGTTAGCGAGTCAGCTATAAAGTGGAAAGGGATCATCTAGGAAAATGGGATGAAGATGCGTGGGGCGGGGCCGGTAACGCGGCAGCGATGATATTCGGAGATCGCCGAGGTGCGCCGGCCCGCCCGCCCGCCCTCCTGCCGTGGCTGGCTGGAGGAGTCAAGTCTAGGCAGGCGGACAAGCAGACATTTTGACATACATACATGCATACATAGGTACATACAATTGATAAGAGGAACCATCCTGCTGGGTAATAAGAACCTAAGGAGCCTCAGACATTTTGATTGGTGTGTGATTGTGTGTGAGGGGCATTTAGCAGAGCCCTACTCGTTTATCCCAAACTCATGTAGTGACAGTGTAAAGTAGTGCAGTGTGACCTTCGCAACCGTGTCCTGCCCATCATAGACCTCAATGCACCGCAAGGGCATGCGTATGGCAAGGGGGGGGGGGAAATATGCGCCCACCGCTGTAAAACCCCACTACTCACCAGATTGTGAAAAGGCATTCTCTCGTTGCGTTTCTGTTCCATGAAGCGACTTATTGCGCGCTGTACCGGGTCGCGTAGTACGACAATGATCTGAGGGGGAGAGCACCGCCAGGAGTGGAGATCAGTGAAAACTGTTAGCATGACTGGCAGCTGCCTGCCTGCTGGGATAGCTTGATACGTGTTGTACGGGTTGAGAAAGAAGAAGGCTATGATGTCTGGATGAGTTTATATGGCTCCCGGCTATGATGTGGAGTTGAGGTCACAGTTGAAGGAACGAGATTCGAGCGCTGGACGCTTCGTGGGAACTGCTGATCCCTCCGTCTCTACGAATGTTCGAGTGAGAGCAGTATCATCCGCCTTGGACTTGCAATCCAATTGGCGTAGTACAGTACCAGTAATGGTAGGTGGTGTTGTATGAATGTTAACTCCTAGATGTGCACACTCTACCATCTGCACGAATGCTCGAAACGTTTTTGCGACTATTCTGGAATCAGGGTTTGACCGGAAGAGCACGTATCGCTGACTATGTAACTAACGAAAGCTAAGAGGTAAAGGCCTGCGTGGAAGGATGAAGGGATGCTGTTGGCGGCCGATGCTGACAGGCGGTAACCGCGGAGGGACGGCGGAAAGGGACGGCGCCTAAGTGCGTTTCGGGGGAGGTAGGAGGGGACTTGTGTCTGGCAAAAGCAGTAGTAGTAGCAGCAGTAGCAGTAGTAGTCGTAGCAGCAGTACAAGTAACAGCAACAGCAGTAGTACAAGTACCAGCAGCAGCAGCAGCAGCAGTAGTAGTAGTAACAGCAGTAGCGACACACGAGGACCGGAACAGAGTAACAGCGTTCGCCTTTTTCGGGACCGGGGCCGGGCCAAGGGTATATGACATCAAAATATTGCTTCCAGCTTCCAAAAGCGCTCGATCGCACGAGCATCTCTGGACCCACCTTAAGGTTTTCATTCAACGTCTTCAGGGAAAGCGGACAGCAAGAACAGCTGAAGTGTGTCGCTGACCAGTCCCCGACTATCAGGTCAGTCCTATTGCGAATAAGTCGCTGCTCGGCAGTTTGTCTCTGAAACTCTTCCACCAAATTGTCGCACTGCGTGGTGGAAGGTATCTCCCCGCTGAAGAAAAAACTCTCCTGCGCGCAGCAAGTGACCAGACGAGCCCAGAGCAGCAGCGATAGCGGGAGAAGGGAGCACGGGAACGGGAAGATCGGGATTTCACATATGCAATTTCAAATCACATGTGCAACTTAGAGAAATGCATCCATCTGCAGGGCAGACCCCGTATCCGTTTGGCAGTATTAGGGGGGTGGAGGACTGGTCCTTGGTTTGTCCATGGGGCTCCCGGGATATAACCGCTAACAGCTGGACACCGGCTGGACAAGGGTGATGACAATATCTTTACCACGAGTATAAGCACTACACAGACCAGGTAGCACAGGCGCGGGCGCACCTTGCCATACCCAACCCATGTGATCGCAGGATTCGATGTCAAGATGTTCCATAGCGTACTCGTTCCAGACTGCGCGCATCAGGCTGCCAGTAGGTCAACAAACGCTTTGCATTAAACTTCACGGTCACGTTGCGCAGCACTGGAATGGTAGGCACACAGTGCAAACGCATGCCTCACCCTTCCAACTAATAAAGGTTACTAGTATTTATAAAACATGTTGTTAACAGCAAAGCAGGCAAGTATGCAATGTGAAACGAAGCAAGGGGCAGACCTTCTGTTGACCGATAACTGCATAATCAATAGGCTTATAGACCTCAGCATAGCTAGGTATGGAGGTGTTTAAGGTTGGACCACAAACGCAAAAGAAGGGCAGGAGGGACAAAAAGGTCACATGGGCTAAGGTGGTGTGCGTGCGCACACGAACCATTGCTTATAATGCGGTTGTTGAAAACAGTATTCTACAGAGTTAGCTGTGAAATTGGCATATGGTTCTGTATGCCTGGTGCCGCCGTAACATACGGTGTACGTATCCCGCGAGCGAATTCACAGGGCGGAGTTACATAATGCATCGCGACGGGAAAGCGCTTGGGCGGCCATGTCGGGAAAACAAGCAGACCCAAAGTAAACGTGAAAGGAATGACGATAAAGCACGATAAGACCAAGAATAACAGACGGGCATGTGCGTTTGCATAAGTGATGCTGACAAATGCATCACAGCACGCAAGCTATGCACGCATATGGCAGTGGCAGTACGGCGAGCACTCGACGTAGAGAGAAGAAAATAAAAACAATATTTCTACCTGAACCACTGACAAGATGGCGACGAATTCCAGTTCAGGGCAGCGATGACGACATATATGGTACTTTCGCTGCCACAATCACAGCTAAAATCTAATGAGCAAAGTTCAAAATGACGTGGTTTATTAAAAGCGTAACAGTCCCTTGAAATGGATCTACTAGATGGAGCTTCGTTGGAACATAGGGAGAAAAGCTAAGCATGCATGCTTCCACATCCGCCGTTTCCTTCTGTGCAATACTGAATAAATTTGAATGTTCACGCTCGTCAGACGTGAAAAGAAAAAGGATTGGCCCAAAATGCAAACGTACACAAATGATTGCGTAAAACACAAATATTTCAGATCTCAATACGACAGTTTGATAAGCGATGTGCAGCAACTTTGATTGGAGCTAGCCAAGCTACAGTTTCAACTTGCGGCCATTACGGCCGTTTCCCTGCTGCCGACACTGAGAGCTGTACGAGCTCAGATTCCTGTCATGCTTTCCTTTGATTCGTTCTTTACTTTATCATCTATGCTCGAATAAGGCGGATCATGAGCCTTCGAGTTCGACAAGCTTGTGAAGCTCGTAACCATGCATCCTGACTGTCCGGTTGCCTTTGAGTCCGACCGGATCACTGGCCGTAACCGAACACTAAACCACTATTTCTGAGACAAAAGCCGACACGTTAGCCACGCAACGCTTCGCAAAACTTTCCCAGATTCCAAGCCCACGGGATGCAGTTGTTGATCGCTCTGCAGAGCAGCTGCTTGGTGGCTCTGGGATCTGGGTTCTGGATCCCATCCCAACAAACTTCCTTGCGTGTACTGTACGCGTTTCTAGGGTGAGGAGTTTCCCACAAATTTTATTGCGGTTGCTCGAGCTGCTCGGACGAAAAGTCCGCAAACTTTGAAATCGTACACCGAACGTAGCGGCTCCTGGAAAAGTAACCAGACCCGAACCCTGCGGCAAATTCCAGTCCCACCCAGCTGGGGCCGCAACAACCTCAACACGGCGTTGCCTCAGCTACTCGCGGCTTCGGCCAATTTATCGTGCGCCCAAACAGAACGCGCCTACAATCCCGATCTGGAGGGCAACCGGTGGGATGGGGGAAGGTGCGGCCCAGGTTCCCCCTTTCGTTTCCCCCAGTCCTTCGAGAGCCTGCGACCGACATGGGCGCGCCCCAGAGACGGGTGGGGTGGGGTCGATGTGGAAACAAGAACGAAATGTCTAGCGCGGACCGGCGAGGATACACTTCCAATCTATGCAGTCAAGGAGGAAGAGAACAGCGCGGAAAGAGCATCATTCTCAGTCATATCGCCCCCAAGGGCATTACGTGATTGGACACAAGTTTTCGGAGCGGAATTGTAAAATTCTGCCCCCAAATTAAAGCAAGACCACATTAGCATCGTCACACCGTTACGGATTTCGATTTGCTGCTCCGTCTGCCAAGGGATACGCTTAAATGGCTCCCCGGCAGACAGCAAGACTGGTTCCTGTCACCGCGACGCGATGAAGCGCGATGTACATTACTCCCAGTACAAGTATCAGGGAAGTCGTTTTGGTAAAAGAGATCTGAGCTATAAATCTTTCTCGTGCAATTCCTTACAAAGCTTTGGTGATTGGTAATCCTCGTGATGCGCCTTCCAAGCCTTTGCTTTATGCTATCTATTTCATTGGTGGCAAGGACAAGAGTCTTGCTTATATTACAAACATGGATTATTTTATTCAGCGGATGCAGCGGCACTCAAATTTTGAACACCACAAGTGCAACTTCTTTGGTTGAAGTGCCGCTTGGAAGAGCGCAATTGACTCGTGAAGAATGGTCAAAGTTCCTAAGGTGTGCAATACTCTTAACTATTTCTTTGTCCTGCACTTGGGCCGGTGAAATTGTTCCAGCTTTTGAACGCGCAAACTGTCATGCTATCCTACAGTGATAACCTTGAAGCCGACCTGGCGCCGTGGCGTGGGCGCGCGCCACTGTCAGCTGCCGATATCCCTGGAGCATACATGACGGTGTTACAGGTAAACGTACCTCTACACCTCTACGGTTCGCATGCGTGTCGCAAAGGGACGTACTCAGGTACCAAGCATTTATTAGCTTGGCTTTTCAGTGACGTTTATGCTAACTAAAACATAAAGGGGATATATTTCAATCTATAATTGTCTGGCCTTGGTCAAAAACTAGATATAGACTTAGCTACGTCGCTGCTGCTCCGCGGGCTAGTGGGAGCTCCGCATGTGCACCTACGGCCGTGTATACGCCATAAAGGAGGGTTCAAATCAAACCGAACGTTTTCAGTGGATTCAAATAGACCACTGGTGCCGCCCGCACCCATCTATTATGTGGCAATGAAAGGCTGGACATGTACCAAAGCGAAATCCGTACAATTATTGTACGGCAACCCGGCTGTGCTCGAGCCGCAAAGCCGCTCTACGATTGCGCCGTACTTATGGTGTGCCGTTCTTGCGATGCTGCTGTGCTGTACTCGCTCCCCGTGCCCATTGCGATCTCCTTCCCGGAGTTTCCTTCCTTCAACGCCACGAAGCCTAATGTTGCACTGTGGCACATGCCACACGCCACACAGCAGCATCGCTGCACCAGAAACGTCCTCCAGAAGCTAGCTGACATCCCTCGTGCGATCAAATCCCAATCGTGCGTCCGAATCCCCGCAGACTATGAACATCCCGGCAGTAATTCAGGTGAGCAGTCGGAAGGCCGGTTTGACTGCTGGGGTTTGCAATGGTGGGTACAATGAGAACTTTGCGCAGACTTCTAGGAAATGGTGCCGGCTGAATCCGGCTGAGTGCTGAGAGTATGGGCGGATGAAGCGTCACCCCACCCGCGCCTCACGGCCCCACGACCCCCGCCTCGTTCAGCATCGATGACCCCTTATTATGAACTGAGCCCCGTCCCAACCCACCTTGTGCAAACCTCCCTGGTCTTCTCCGTGCCCCCCGCACCCACGGCTGCCATGGCCGCCATGTTCACGCGGCGCAGCTGGCGTTGATCTACAACAACCGGCTCTACTGGCCGAACCGACCTGATCCCAACGGAGGCGAACCCACCCGGCTGTGGGCGAGCTATTTCGTGAGTTGGGCGGTTGACAGTTGGAGGTCCTTGGTACGGAGGGGTTCCGTATGTCACGGATTGCGGCCTTTACGTGCCGTACTGCGGCAGATGTTTATCTTTTCCGTGGCGTGTGGTTTTATGTATGAGGGAGGGCCTGAAAGGGGGTTGCTATTCCCAACTTGGTTCCTTGGATTGCGGCTGCTGCTGCTGCTGCTGCTGCTGGAGACTAATGTATAATTTGGCTTAATTAAGGTATAGCTATATGGGTTGCACTCGTTCACAGTCCCTCAGTTTAACTGAGCGAACGGCAAGCCCGTCCTCAGACGCGCCACGCTTGGCCACACATATGGGGTACACCGCCAGCTTGTTATTATTGCATCGACTTGTGAGATTGTAGCGGACAAAACCCGTAGCGTAGGATGTGCGGGACCTCTTGTTGTTGACATCGGTTGTTGTTGTTGTTGTTGTTCGTGTTCCTCCGCCCGCACCCCCCGCCCCCCGTGTGTCGAACACCGAGTGCGTCGGGCCAGTCGGGCTGCTCAGCACATGCGGCTGCGGGGCGCCCTCGGCGCCCTCGCGGCCTCTGATGTCCCTGCTGTTGCCGTCTGACTGACTGTGGCCGCAGGTCATCCACTTCCACCGCCGGCTGACGGCTGCGTTGGCCTCAGGCCGTTTAGTGCTGCCCAACGCGCTGTTCATCTACAACACCGATGACAATGCGTAGGTGGTGGCGGCACGACGGTCGGTCTTGCTGTGTTGCCACACGGCATATCTTTGAATGAGTATATCTTTGAAGGAGTATATGATACCGCAACGCGGGGGTTTGGTCCTAGGGTTTTGCCTAAATCCCTCCACATACATACATACATACATACATACATACATCCGTGATACCTCCCCGGCCTTGTTGTTTGCGGCCTGGTCCCCAGGCCCCGCTTCAACGCGCCGGGCCGCAAGTTGCCGGTGCCGCTGTTGAGCCTAATCAAGTCACAGGGGCTCGAGGGAGGGGACGACCTGGACATATTGGTGCCGCAGGTTGGTTAGTTGGTTGGTTGGTTAGTTGCCACGTGCCCCCGCGACTGACGGGCTTGAGGATGCGGAGTGGTGGCAAGGAGTGAAGCAGGGTGTGGTTATCTGGCTTATACACAGAGCAATCTATGTATGACAAATTCGCTCCTTCGTACGTGCTTCTTCGTACGTGTTTCTTCGTACATGTTCGTATATCTCCATAGCCTGCTGGCGACCTTGTTGTCCAGCTGTCCACACACTTTCCCGTCAGCCGGGCTCTGCTTTCGTCGCTTTCTGGATTCATTCAGCCATCGGGAACCAACTCGCCCCCCCCCTGCTGCTATCTACAGATGTACATGGTCCAAAGTTCGATGTTCTTTGTGCCTTGGCATCTTAAGACTGACCGCGGTAAGTCGCCCATGCGCGCGGCTACGGCTACCAGCATGAGCGCAAAGCAAAGCAAAGCAACGGGCGGGGGGGGTGACAAAGGGGCTGAGGAGGCATTGGGGCAGGCTGGCTGGTGGTCAGCACCCCCTTTACTTCCCCTTTAGGGGGTGAAGTCGCATCCAGGAGTTCACTCCCGGAGGCGGTTACGTCACGTCCTCCCCCCCCCGGTTGCCCCCTCGGGGGTTCCGGGGTGCATCAGGGTGCGGAGATGTTGCAATTCGGGAACGGGGCTGGTTGCTGTCGTATCGTTGATTGGGATGGGGTTAGGCCGGCTAGGTTTCGTATAGCTGAGTATTACAGCGTTTTTATTATCCCCCTGTTTACCCACCTGTCCATTCACCTGTGCGTACCTGTATGTATGTGATGTGTATGTATGTATGTATATATGTATGCACATGTTGCAGCATTCTTCCGCGGTATGCCGTTCTGTAACTCCGTGTGGAGGTCTCGCTACGGCGTCCTGGATGCCTGTGCGCGGCTGTACCTGTCTCACCTCAGCTATCAAGGGCTGCTAGCCGGCGGCAACGACACGACGTTGGACTGCGGCCTGGCGGAGCCGTTTAAACACAGATTGGACAGCCCTAATACGGTAAGAGTGATGCGGGTGGGGGGTGGTGGGGGTGGGGGTGGTGGTGGGCGCTGTGCGACAGCGTCGCTATCCGGCGGGACCGTTGTGAGGTAGGCGTGTATAGGTAGGCGTGGCAGATGGCGTTCCTTGGCGGTGTGTTGCGGCACCGGTGTGTTTTGAGGCAGTGGGGTCGCAGCCGGTGATCACCTTTGCAGAGGAGGAGGATACCACTGACGTTCAATTTCGATATGTCTGTGTCTGTGTGTGCGTGTGTGTGTGCATGTGTGTGTGTGCATGTGTGTGTGTGTGTGTGTGTCTCTCCAGGTCAGGGACATTCGGAAGCGGGGCGAGGGAAGGAAGAGCAAACAAGTGTATGATTACTTCGGGTACTTCGGGTTTTTGTAGGTGCGCTTGGGTACTACTGCCCTGAAGTGTAGGTTGGTCTGCAGGCCTAGTTCTGTCGCTTGCGTAGGGGTAGTGCTTTCCCACACCGGGCGCTACTACGGCCCCATCACGAGGACTGTTTCCATTGCTTGCAGGTATTTCCTTTTTGTAACGATGAATTCCCGTGAAAACTGCATTCATAAATTACTTAAGAACCGCTTGGTATCTGAGAGCGCAGCGAATTGATTGCCACCTTGGCCATTTCATCTCATCGATCGCTCCCCTCACGTTGAATGTACGGCGTGCAGTTCCTAAAGTACGATCTGCCCGTACTGGGCCGAGTACCTTTCCCGGATCATGCGCACTACAAGTGGCTGCTGAACCTGGAGGGCATCACTGCCAGCTCGCGGCTCGGCCAGGTGCGTGGGTACATCGCGACAGGTGTATGCGTGTATGTATGTGTATGTATGTATGTATGTATGTTTATATGGGTGGGTACGTATTTATCGATGCATGTGATGTGGGGTGGTGTGATGTGGGGTGGGGTGGTAAACGGCTCCCAGGTGGAGCAAGTTGGGGGTCTTGTGTGTGCTGGTAAACATGTGTACGGGGGGCCCAGTGGGCCCTTGCTCCTGGCCGCTAATGCCCACAACGTTACCCCACAATGCGCCCGCCACGACGGCCCCAGCTCTTGACATGATGCCGAGCTGGAGTAGCTGCAGAAAGTTGCACAAGTGACGTGGTGGCACTCCGTCCGCGGGGGGCAGAGAGGCCCCTGCGGGCTACCTTTGCATGAAGTGTGTGGTGGTTACAGTGGGTGACTATGACGTGATGGTGATGGTGATGGTGATGGTGATAGGAGCGGCAGTTTGATGTGGATGCTGTCCTTTCACACTGGGCCCTACCCCCCCCCTCGGCCCCCAATGTGCAGCTCTTCCACATCAACTCGCTGGTCATCTCTCAACGCTCCCCCTACCTGGAGTACTTTTACAGGTAGGAGGACTGAAACACACAAACACACACACCCTGGTGCGGATTAGTCGTCTGGCTCCGGTATATCCGGCTTCACTCGTCCGTGGTCCGTCTTATCACCCCCCTGCCCCCCTCTGGGTAGTGGTGGTGTACGTACCTTACCTTACCTTACCTTACCTTACGTAGGAATACATGTTTGCCGCTGCTGCTGCAGCGGCGGAGACCTCCTGAGACGCACTGAGCACACATCCAGCTACCGTGCTCACTAATTGAGTATGCTGTCGCATTGAGGGCAAAATGATGAACGGAAATTCTGACCTTATGCATATTTGCCACATCCCAATTTGTCTCGGCCTACTATTTTGCGCTGTGTATAGGTGTGCGTTTTTGCTGTTGAGTGTGAGTTGTGCGCGTTGTGCCTCCCTGGAAGGGTAGGGTAGGGTAGGGTAGTCCCATTGGGATCCCCCTGGGCAGAGAAAAGGAGTGCCTGTGCGCACACCAGAACACATACGAACGCAAAAGAGCTGGTTGTCGGCCACGTGTACCTCCACACACCCTCCAGCAGGAGGGCCGACGAGTCGAGAACGAAGAAAGCCAACTTGGAGGAAAGAGAAACCGCTGCGAGCACACATTGCAATCCGTTTGGTTGAGCTTGCCATCGCTTGACATCGCGGCTAATAAGCACACTGCACAATGACGAGCAAGAGCAACAACGCACGTTGCCTCGGGAAAAGCCGTGACCAGCCGATCTCACCAAAATCCCTGAATGCATGTGTGCGTATAAGTATGTATGCGCACAACAACCTCCAAGCGCTGAAGCACGCGGGAAGCACACAAGCGCCCAGGTGGAACACTGAATTAATTGCTCTGCTGCTCTGAACCGCATTCCTTTGGAGTGCAGGTCGCTGCGGCCGTGGGAGCATTACGTGTTGTTCTGGAACGCCACAGCACCCAACGGCACTCAGCTGGGTATGGACGACGTGTACAGCACGATTGAGGAGTTGCGCCGCTTGGACCGGGAGCAGCCTTGGAAGATCCAGGAGGTGATCAGTGCGGCCAACAGCTTCGCCGTCCGGTGAGCGACCCTTTTAGATGCAGCAGGGGAGTGTGCGAGAGAGGGGTTTCCTGGAGAAAGGGTTTCCTTCTTGGTGGGGGGGACTATATATATCCCAAATTATCCAGCAGGTTTCCTATCTTTTGTGTATGTGGTGCGTTACTTCCCACCCCCTAACCCGCCGTACATGTGTGCATCGTTCTGCGCATGCTGTGTGTATGGGTATGTATGTATGTATGTATGTATGCCGACATGCGTTTCGATGCTGTCTCGAACATCTGCGCACGATGTCGATGTGGAAAACTTTCCAAGCTCTTCAAAACCCTCGAGCAGATTTTTTTTGCGGAGTATATTCCAAATTTGGAATAAAAAATTGTTCGTGGTCCTGAAAATTAAGGATAATTAATGTTCTGACCGTACAAGTTCATTCCTCCAGCCATAAATGGACTGTCCATGCCAAAGCCGCTAGAATCTTACAGGAGACATACATGTTAACCATGTCATAGTACTTTATTGCCATGGATACTGTTAGGAAGGTCACGCCCGAAAGTCAACGAGGAATCGGACTGTTTCTGACCGGACCAAACGCTGCAAAACATTCGGACCCGAAGCTCCCAAAGCGTGGCAGGCCATTAAAAAAGATATTAAACTTCACTGAAGCCATTAGGGACGTTAATGAAGGCGGTGTAGAGGTCGTAGGCAATGTTGACGCAATGCTGCAGCCAGCCGACGACAATGACGCCACTCCGGTTGTCAACAGCGAGCTTGCCAAAACATCAACGTTCGTCATATGGAGACAATCGCGATGGGCCAGGAAACAGGTTGCGTTTGGTGGTTCCGGTTCATTGCTGCTATGCATCATTACTTTTGCAACCCGGAAAGCCGTGTAGTGTTATCTTTCAACGTGATGCAAGACGAACGATGGTGAACGGACTCTATTCGATCAGTGCTTGATAGATTGTGGTGTGCGCGTGTTGCGACACTCCCCAAACCCGGCGTTTGCAGGAACTAAACTGTAACTCATCGGGGGGGTCTGGGAGGGGGCGGAGCCCCCCCCAGCGCCTTACAGATTCGGAATACTTTTATTCCCGCGACTAAAAAACTATTTCTCCGTTCGGACTGGAAAGTTAACCGGCAAATATGGAAAAAATCACTGCCCTCGAGCTCCTTGCGTAAAATCCCAGCTTCGAATTTCCAGCTTAGAGCATGGTATGCCGCACTATGACACAACCCATACATTTCCCCCTGGCTTATTGCACGACGAATGGATGTGCTACGGCCCTCTGTAGTAGCTGGCCGCCGAAAAGGCCTCTCTCGAGATGGTGGTGGTGGACGCGCTTAGCGCGTATTTGTAGTTGCTATATGTGCCGTACAGTGTACCGGCTACTACATGGCCCCTTACACCACCGCCCACTTCGCCCAACCCACCCACCCACGCACCCACTCCGCCATGGCCAGGTTCCTCCAACCGCATACACGACTGTGGTATTACCAAGAGGCAATCACACGGTACAAGAGCCTGTTTCGAGACATGGATAACTTCTTGGAGTCCTTCGTTCAAGCTCTTCGACAGAAGGGCTGGCTCATTCCGTAACGACGATCTCCGGGAGGGAGGTCGTCAAGAAGCTTCAGCACGGCAGATAGACCACAAGCACGCGCTTGTGGCGGTGCGCCAGCACGTACGTACGAATTTATGTACGGCCGTCGTCAACCGCTGCTTGCTTGGCTATGCCATATCCACTGACGGCATCGCCAGCGGCACTTACAGACGTGAAAGTAGTGAGCAAGTGCGTTTGGGGTTGTTAGGGTAGGATATGAGGATGTATGTATGCGCTGGTTTATCAAGCAGCGTACTACGGGCTTTCATGCTAGGTAGGATAGTCAAGCAGCAGCAGCAGCAGCAGCAGTTCCCTCTTCTTCAGAAGTTTCTTACTTGCTTTCTTTCTTCCCAAGTTTTCTTTATTTCAGCTGTCATCGCAAGGAAGTAATAAACATATATACGGATAAATCATTTTGACTTCCCCGGTAATCTGATAAAGTATGATGTTGAGTAAGCAGCAGCGCTCAGGGTATCAAATTGAGCGGCGCGTCCTGTTCTTCGCATATATATTTAAATATAGTTCTTATATATAACACATATATGCATACATATTTTTTGTCAGGCCCAAGGGCTTGTGAGATTTTACAATGCATCAACCGCACGCGATTGCGTGCCTCGCGAACGATGTGCGTATGAATGACTGCCGGTCACCTGGGCCAGCAGAGGCAAGGTGGCGGGAGTGCGGGTTTCTCGCACCTTTGATCAGCTGTGGTGGGGTGCCGGTCGGGAGTGGTGGTCTGTCTGAATCCGCGCGTGCCTTTGGACAGCAGTTGACAGCTGTGTGTGGTCCTTAGCTCAGGGATGCAGAAGGGGGGTTAGGTTGCCGGGGTGTGAAGGCCTTGAAGAACCGAATAGTACTATAAAATTTGCATACGAGTTGTTTTAGATCAATCTCGTCTCTTCTGTCTTTCCTTGGTTTTATTAATCCGTCCTTCCGTCCGGGCCCCTATCCTATTCGTTGCGTGCGGTTGCCTAGTGCATGTTTTGTGCATGTTGCGTTTCGTGACGGAATGCGGACATATGCGGACCTCCTGTCGGGCATATAGCTCGGCAGGCTTACCTCAGGAAAGGTGTTGAAGGAGTGTTATATGTGCAGGGCCCAGTCTGGTCCCATGTGATCGAACAATCTGGAAACATGTACAGCCCCCGTTTAGTCGCTCAAATGCTTCGATGATGGTGATCGCACCTACAGCTGGAGAGCGCCGATGGGAGGATGGCTGTGAAGGGGGGACGGTGGGTGCAGTGTTAATGCATTTCTGTGTGTGTGCATGCATGCATGTGGCTGTTACAGTGGGCTGCAGACTCGTGAAGAGAATGACGTTGATTACACTGTGGGCTCAGGAGCCGGGGGGGGGGGGCCCAGGGCCGAAACACAGCGCGGGGGCCAGACGCACACGGCTGGTTAGTCTCGCTCGTGCATTCCGGCCCTGGATCAGACCGCGTACGAGATACGACGGCCAGCTCTAAGCATAGGATGAGCCGATGAAGAAGAGATGAAAGGGAAAAAGGCGGAGGTGATGAGCGAGCGAGCTGAACTGCAACGCTTCACTGCCGGCGGAGCACCGTGCCGGTTGGGGCTGGCTGAAGGGGCAAGGATGCGGGTGGTGCGTGTGTGTGTGTGTGTGTATACGTATGTCGTCCTGGTACCTTCACCGGAGTTTTGCCGTACAACGTTTGGTCCTCCCTTGTCCTGGCCCGTAAACTAGTTTGCAGCGGGTATCTGTTGCGGTCGCTCAGTGATCGTTTACTATCTTACGGCTATCATAGATTCACCTCCCACGAGCGTGTGGCCTATATATTATCCTCCCCCCTCCTTGTCGGCGTCGCCGCCCACATGACACTTGACGTTGACAACTTGGTTCGCGTCGCGGTCGGTCTGTCCTGTGGGATTCTGCCGCCTCCGTGTTTCCGTGTCCTCCACGTATGAGGTGTGAGGCTGTTTTTTAAACGTTTTTAAAGAGCTTCTTGCTGCAGTTCTTTGCAGTTCTTGTGTACGACGAACGAGTTTGCAAGTTCGCCTTCCCAACATATCATAAACAAACACATGCTAAGATGTTCATTCCTCGTTTAGAGCGCACATCGTAAGCTAATGCGTCGTATTGCCCTTGGGCCTTCGGCTCGTATGGGTAGTTTTACAGGTATGGGGTCACGCACCCCCAACCATGTGACACACACACACACACACACACGCACACACAGAAATAAAATTTGCCGGAGAGCTAGCATGCCAAAGTCCCCCGCTGAAGGGTAGCCGACCAGGAGATCCGCTGGATTCACCGCTGTCAAGCGCCGACCGGGGTCTTCTGGGCCTTGCTGCAGGTCGACTAGGCGGGCCGTGCGGCGCTCTACCTCGTCCAGCGTGCGGTTGGCGGGCGGTCCGCCCTGTTCCACGTGCCAGGTGACTGCCCCTGCGGTCCATATGCTGACTGATGCCGCCACAGTGGCTAGCCCGAATGCTGATAGCGGGAAGCGGGAGAGTCGCTGCATTCACCGCCTGGCTTTTCCGAGTCTCTTCATCCAGTCGAATAGATGACGAGGGAATGGCTGGCTGTCAATCGGCAGGTTCGGGTCTGTGGCAGTGGTCACCACCCTTGGGGCATATCCGATTGACTGCTGCTGAGGGGCAGGCTGCTGCTTGGGGTCCAGCCTGAGTTGCGGGCTGTGTCTGCTGCTGCTGCTGCTGCTGCTGATCTGATTGACCAATCCATAACAGATCCACTATCTCGAGGTTTAAGTGCTGGCTGGATGCCTGATTGTGAAGGTGTCCATGGCCTGGAGGGTAATGACTCTTTGCCCTCCAGTGCCACTTCCGTGTCATCCGCATATTGACACGCGGTGACTGGTTGTGAGTCGGTCGGCTCTGTTTGATCCCCACATCCCGGCTCCGGAGCCAGCATTGTAGAACTTGAGCAGGGAGGTGCAAGGGGACAGACTTGCCATACCAGCCGCCCCTGCCTCCATGTTCACCACTTTGGACTTGTAATAGCCATTCACCATCCCGCTCGGGCTCGTGTGTATCGCTCAGCAGCAGTCGCACCCAGGTGCACAGCTGTGGCCCTGCTCCCTTGGTCCCCTGGTCTCCATCGCCGCCAGGAGTAACCCGTGATCCAGCATATTTCATATGCCTTGGCGAAGTCCAGGAATGCCAGGAGCCCCCGGCGGTCTTGCTTGCGAAGGAGGTGTGACAGGTGGCGCAGGAATAGCACACTGGCCCATGATGCGGTGCTTGGACAGGAAGGCTGATTGCTCGGGGGTGATGAGTTGACCCAGGGTGGGGCCTAGGGGCGGTTTGCCAGCACTCGGGTGAGAAGCCGGTAATCCGAGCATAGCAGGTTGATCGGGCAATAGTTGCCGGGGAGCTTGGGGTCACTGTTTTTTAGAGCACCGTCAGTACCCCCTTCAAGAAGCCCTTGGCACCTGTCCAGCTGAGCCGATGGTGGTGAGCAGGCCAGCCATGGTGGTGCCAATGGCCGACTAGGATTTTCTGTAGATGTCGGCTGGGATGCCGTCCCATTCTGGTGCGATGCCTGGCTGGCTCTGGCTCTTCCTGAGTGCCTTCCGTAGTGTGAGACCAGGCAAAGTCTAGTACTCAGGGAGATGCCAAGGGAGCTGAACCCTTCTTACACGTAGCTCGGCGGCCGTAATCGTGTTGGACCCCAGCTGCTCATTTGCCTTTGCAGGTATTAAGATGTTGGCGGCCACTTGGGAGTTTAGCACCTCCTGTCGGGCTTGGGAGCTGATGTAGTTAGGAGCTCGGCTCACTTCACTCCAGAAATCCGCGACCACCTGGGGCGGCTGTACAGCATTAGTCACACGGCGGCCAGATCGGGCTTGCAGGGCGACGGCACCTGCTGTTGGTCCGGGGGCTGGCCGTAATTTCTGCCTGCGGGTATTGGCACCATGGGGCACCTCGTTTGGTTAGAATCAACGAACCGTTCGTTGATATGGCGTTGATAAGCGCTTCCAGTGTCAGGCGCTCGGTTCTATATATATTCTGCGGTTTCGCCGTACTGGTTGATCCAGTCAGACGTTCTGTAGCGCGGCCAGCATGGCCACGAATGGCGGGGGGGGTTTCCCGGCAGGTCACATGGTAAAGCCAAAAGTATCTCTGACAAAGTCCTCTGGGTTCTGCCGAGTCTTCCACCCCTCCGGTGTTCTAAAATGAACGGCGCCCTGTCGGCCCTGTCGCTTCAACCTGCCTGCGCATGGAATGCCGAAATCTCTGGTGCGGCGGTCTCTGTAGCCTGGTTCTGGTTCTGGTTCTGGGGATTCTGGTTCTGCGGGTTCTGATTCTGTTTTGTCGCGACGGGTTGGGACCCGCCAGCTTCCGCGTTGTTAACATTCAACAGGCAGGGGGTGAGATGCCTCTGCCCGGAGTCGGATGTTTGTTCAGGGAGAGCGAGGCGATTGCCAAAGTCAGCTGTTCGCGTAGTTGCTGTAATTGCGCAGGAGTAAATTCCATACAACCCTGGAGGTCGAACGGAAAGTCAGACGCTAAATTCGCAATGTAAAGTTGCCACCGAATTACTTTTAAATCTTTCCTTTGTAAGGACCCTGTGTGGATGGAGTTTGACCACGAGCTTGCCACCACTTGCAAGCCCCGGGTGTGGGTTGCTTCGGCTGCCATGCTTAGTTCGCGCTCAAACAAGGATTGGTGGTGGGCATTGGTGTGGTGGGTCTCCATTTTCACATTGCATGTGGTCATGCATGTATGTATGTATGTATGTACATGTGTAAGCTGATCGTGACGACGTGTCTATACGCAAATGGCAGTGTGCATGAGCGGGAGGCGAGGGGAGGAATCCCGTGTAGAGTGTGAAGTGCGTGTAGTCCGGGTTCGCCAGCAAGCATGGGGACTGGTGTGTGTGTGTGTGTGGCATGTCCTTACGTACGGCAGTGACATGGGTAGGGGGAGGGCCAGGGAGGGTGATGTGCGGTGCACAGTGCTGAGCAATGTGTGTGTGTGTGTGTAAGGTTGCTGCTTGGTGTGTTGC